AATAAAAACACTGGCGATAACGAGCTTCTTGATGTAATGGAAATGATGATAAAAGAGCACGAAGGGCGGCTGTTTATTTCCCAGGGTTCCTGGTTGTCCCTGATCATTCTGAAGCACCTGGACTTAGAAGTCCTGATTTAAAACTTTAAGCTGTTTTAAGGTCAGTAAACACAGGCTGAGACACTTGCTATCATTAATTCTGCTCTACCGATCATTAGCCCTCTACCTTTGTGCTATAGGCATGAAAGATAGCTCAAATCATCAAATGTGGCTTGCTGAGGTGAACTGTGCTACTATCAGAGTTGGGGGTAACGCATTACAAGTTACGTGAGTTATGTAATCAGATTACTTTTTCAAGTAACGCATTAACATGCAACAACATATCTGTTACTTTTTCAAATAAGCACCGCAAGTTGCTTTGTTTTGCAATGCATTGCCTTATAGCTCACTCTTCGCATGTTGAGATTAATCTGGATTAATGTATATATATATTTTTTATTGCTGAAGAGTGTTTTTGTTGTTGTTGTTATTAAAAAACAAACAAGCAAGCCAAACCCAGGTGAGAAAAAGTAACGTTATACATTACTTTCAGTAACTAAGTAACCCAAGTTACTTTTAGGGAGTAACGCATCTTGTAATGCATTACTTTTTAAAAGTAACTTTGCCCAACGCTGGTTATTAAGGTGATACAAAGAACAATTTTCATCTGAAAATACAATACCATTTAAAAGTTTGGGTTTGGCAATTTATGTTTTTGAAAGTCTCTCATGCTAATCAAGGCTGCATTCATTTTACCAAAATACAACAAAACACTAAAATTTTGCAATAAAAAATTACAGAGTAGTTGATATATGTAGATATGACTCATCTAGTTACAAATTCACATTCGCTTTTTTACTGATTGGACTGTGCATGTGTATGAGTGTGTGGTTGAAAACTTGCTACTGTATGCACAGTGACTTTTTACTTTGAAGCGGCTGGCTCTATCTCAGCCGGTCCTGCCTTTATCATATTCAAACACGATGCATAATTCAATGCATAATTTACATTGATGGCAAATACAATCACAATATATATTTTATTATTAACAACACTGATACAGAGTGACTGCGATATCAAACCTGTGCAGCATGAATATAAAATACAAACTGCACACAGGGAACTGAAGCTGAATTACAGGCTGTTTGCACACATGGAAAGTAAATCGGAAGTCAATATTATTAATCCCTCAATTATCAATTCCAGACGAGAATCAAATCTCTAAACTCACAGGGATTACACGCAAGTGTAAATTAAAAGGAACATGATGCAGATGAAATGATCTCAGGTGTAGAGTTCTGTGTTACAATGTTTTGCACACATTTTCACTTTAGATAATTCTGTTCTCATTAAATTGTTTTAAACCAGTGAAATAACCCTTATCTTAGCAACCATCAAAACACAGTAGTAACAGCAGCAACCATCTAGCAAGTCACCCTGCAAGAACCACTCCGATTTTATTCCAAAAATCTAATTTACATTTGTCTTCACATTTAATAATTCCATATACATACAGTTAGACATTTTCTCATGAAAATGATCTGTAAATGTTTTAGATTTGAAGTAAAACATAGCAAGTAATAAATATAACTGAAGCAGATCAATCTCTTAGGGATGCCAAAGTGTAAAATTGCACTTTATCCTTTTAAAATGGACATTAGTTTGAAATCGTAAAGCTCCCCCTAACTGCCTAGTAGTAAAAATTAGAATATGAATCCATAAAATATGGAACGCTCTCTCTAGATACACAGATTAACATGCAATAAACGTGGTCACATTAGCAACAAACAAATAAAATGTCATTCTGTAAAGTCTGAGGGGAAAGGAGGTTCCTGCAAATTTAAGCATAATCATTAGTTTGATATCACTGAGGACAACCATCTCGTTTAATATCCTTTAATGAAGCACATAAAACAGAATGGCGTTTCATAAAGTTGGTCTATTGGAAGGTCACCATGGAAAAGGATATTTTCTATATCAGTCTCTCGCTTGGATTTGATCCAGTTGGGAGGCGAGCTGGCAGCTATTTTTGGCATAAGGGAATATATACTGTATTAACGCCTAGTATGTTCGATATTTATAAAAATAAATAAATAAAAGTCAACTTTTCAGGAAATGCAAAGTATCCTGCTGCTCTAATGATGTTTTGACAACTCGGTGACATCTCATTTCATTGTATTTTTTTATTATAAAGGTCATGAATAATGATTGTGCATAAAAAAACGAACACGATTGTTTTTCTTACAATTACGCCAGTCAGAATGGCTCTGAAGTGAAACGGGCCTGATGAATGTGTCATGTGTGGGGTGAACTCCGTAAGTAATGACAGACGGAGGAGACGGAAGTACTCAAACCAAAACAGGCCTTTTTAATAATTCATCAGACATTAAATAATCCCTCTGACTTTATCAATGTTTCTCCATCTCTGAAAGCTCAGGATGACCTTTGGAAAATGTTAAATCTTTTTTATACGCGGCAGTGATGAGTCTGGCAGGAAAGGTTGAAACCTAAACAGTCCGTCAGCTACAGGAAGTACACACAAGAAATATTCACGCACACACATCCTCATGTGCTGACAGCCGAAGCTCAATCACCCTGACATAGATTCATTTTTCCAGACTTATAACGTGACAGCTGTCTGTCTTTTTCCAAAACTTAAAGTTACATGAAAGTTGAAATGCAATAACTGCAGAAAGTCTGAAACCTGAAGTTTACAGCAATGTTTTCTGGCTGACATGTAGTCTAATAAATGCTTATTCTTTTTTTTTTTTAGCTATTTATCTACACACAGATCCATAAATGCACAAATATGGAAAATAAAATTGAATAAAATGGGCAAAATATATTATTTATTTTAGTTGAGCAGAGTGGGGAATTTTAATCAAACATTGCAAAACAAGTTTGCTCAGTAATGTGAAGTACTGCGTCATGGGACATGCAGTTTTACAATTTACGTACAGTCTCATTAACTTGTAATTATGCCGGTCACATGTGAATATTGGCTGAATTTAAAGTAGGTTCATCACAACAAAATACAAAACACTTAGCGTAGAGAGTGCGGTGAGACATCCAGCTATTTTCTTTGCTGTTTGCTTAATCATAATGGTAAATGTGATACTAAGGGAAGTAGTAGCCTACAGTCCTTTAAGGCTATGTGCTTTACCATAAAATCACTCAAGCTCTCATGCTACCCTTCTCTCCCTTATCACATAAACATAGGGCTCCCTAGAATAGAAAAGCTAGCGTTGTTTCATGCAGAGAGCTCTTTGTCCAGGTTACTGAACTTTAATCTTCAAGTGCAACCACACAAACGTAGAATAATGCTTTAGAGCTATAGAAACCGCTGGATATGCGAGTCGTCTGCGGTTTTACCTGTGTGTGTGTGTGTGTGTTTGTCTATGTATGTGCGAGAGCTAAGAGAGAGAGAGAGCTAAAATGATGAAAAATATGACATTCTAAAGGCTATGTGGTGCAGGATATTTAGACAGCCTTTGTCCTGACCAGCAGCCTGCACATTTATGGATGAATATTGAATAGTTGTTTGCCATATTGAAGACTTTGATCTGTTTCATGTTTTGATTCACTCTCTGCGTACTCAAAGTATACTGAAACATGTCAATTGAAAGTTTCCTGATACAATTGGTGATTAATGGACTAATGAATTTGCTCAATTAAATCTTGCTCTTATTAGTTGCACCACTGTTTGGGCCAGTATGATTTTTTAGTGTGTTTGAAAGTAGTTTCATAAACCGACCAATATAGTGGTAATAATTTTTGATATATTTATATAATCAAAAATACAGTAATAAGAGTATTACAAATATTATTGTGAAATATTATAGAACTTAAAATAACAGTTTTTATTACAATTTTAATATTTATTTAAAATCTAATATGTTCCTGTGATGAAAATCAGAATTCTCAGCACAATTACTCCAGTCTTCAGTGTCACATGAGCATAATTACTATTTACTATTAGTATAATACTATCACTATAAGCATAATTACTATTTATATAATTACTAATTACTATTACTATTAATAAAAATAATTATAATTACTAAAACAAATCTTTTCCCGAGTCAAATCGTTCATTTCGTTCGTTGAATGAACCAAATGACACAAAAAGATTCATTCATTTTGATAAACGAGTTCAAACAGGAGTCACGAACGCGCATCACAGAACAGAGCAAGGCGACCATTTGAGCTCATAAAACTTAAACTTTGATTTTGTTTTTTTTTTAAATGAGCGATCGTTTCGTTTGATAAGACCCTTGTTCATCGTCTGGAATCGTTTAAAGCCCTTTGAACAGTTTGCAGTTTGCACTGAAACTGTCTTTTGGACCTTGAACTGTTTGGTTTCCAGTAAAGTGCATTATATGGAGAAAAATCCAGGAATGTTTTCATCAAAAACCTTAATTTCTTTTCGGCTGAAGAAAGAATGACATGGACATCTTGGATGACATGGGGGTAAGTAAATTATCAGCAAAGTGAACTACTCCTACTTTAACTTTAGTCCTAAAATGAACTTTTCACTAATATATTACTTTAAAATGTGTAGTCTTTCTTATCTGAGAAAATAATTAAATAAAGATGACTGATCCCGCACAACAGGTGTTTCACACAGCCATGTTTCAAGGCTGAGCTCTTCAATTTGTCCTACTCAAACTTCCTGTTTTAACAGGAAAATGTCAATATAGGCAAGAAACTGACAGTAAATAGGTAGATTATGCTGAATCACAGTGTTTCCTTTCATTTCAGCAGAGAGACTCTTTTGTTTCCTTTCATTTAGCGTGATCCTATTAAAGATTCTTCAGTGACATGGGTCATCTGCTAGACTATTTACTGGAGAAATGAAACAATAATGGATGTTTGGAAATTGCCTAGAAATTGGGACACACCGGCCATCCACTTATATAACAATGCCATTAAAATCCATTGTAAAGAATCAGTGGGCAGTCACTAATGCAAAAATACATTTATTCAGATTAAAGTGACTTTCAGTTCACAGTCAAATATAAAACTGGCTGTCAGCTATTAGCAGCAATGAAACATGCGCCCAAATGAGTATACTTCAAGGAAATTAGAATTGTAAATATGAACCAAATAAAGAATATGTTGCCATCTTACAATAATACACATTGCCAAGGCACAAATGGACACGTTCAGCAGATGAGGCGTCTACACAGATGAAGGTTCCAAACTCTATTTGTGCCATATACATATATTTGATCCTAAAACCATGCTCCTTATGACCTCTTAACATCTCACAGTCACTATCAATTCAGATGAGGTAAGCATCAATATAAACATACATAAAGCTATAAGCATATTTCAAATGATTAAATATTGATTTTCCTGTATGAAAGTGTAGCATATATGTCTTTTGGATTTTCTAAAAGTGAGCTGTTTGTTTACAAATGTGTTAATCTTAATATATCTACAAGTTAGCATGCAGAGAATGATCTCTTACTTTTACAAAAGGAATTCGGTGTCCCTGCTTAGGAAGAATAGAGAACAATTTTGCTAATCGCTTTAAAGGGGTCATATCATGCCATTTTTGTACAAGTTAATATGAATCTTTAGGGTCTGAATTAAAACTTTGTAATATACTTTCATTAAAAATTCTCATTAGTATTATAAGAAAACTCTAATTTTACCTGGTCATAAACAACTCTGTTTTCAGCACGCTGTTTCAGTGCATATGCCTTTAAATGATAATGAGCAATGCTCTCTCCGCCCCTCTGTTCTGTGGGTGTTTTGACACATTGCACGTAGACTGTTGCCTTCACAACAGTTGAGGGTATACTTTGGAGAAAGAATGGCAGCGGGAGTCTCCGAGGAAACATATATGCGACCGTATCAGTTTGAACCGGAGTCGGACCCGGAAAAAGATGAGGCCGCCTAGTTTGACAATTAAGGCTCGAACAGGACGTTTCTGAATGGTTGGTTAACGTAATGTAACTAAGATCTATGTTTGTATGCACTGGCAGGGTAGAGAAGTGAGATACGAACACCATGAACGCATTGATGTTGATTGGTGGGAATAAAAAATACTATAAAAATTGATGGGTGACTTGAATCAAGACAATAAACTCAGCCACTGCGTCTTCAGCGGTTAGGATTTAGGAACATCAAAATGACTTCTGTGTTCATTATTACACCCAAGAACAGAACACCACAATCGCTTAGACGCCATTCTGCTCCAGCGTATCAACAATAGCGGACTTTGATGACGGCTCACTCAGGGCGGGATTCGGGAATGTGTTTAAACACTACTGTCAATCAACAATCATGGGAGGGGCGTCCGCCTGTTTGACGTCACACGGTCAAACGGTTCAACTTGAGGCAGGGGAAAACATACAAGGAGATACAAACAAAAAACACTGGATGGATTTTTATCATTATATGATGGTTGTGTACAGGCACTGCCAACACACATTTTAGTACAATCAACTTGTAAAAGTGCATGTACCATTATATGACCCCTTTAAGAAAGAATTGTATTGGGATGAAAGAAACTGCTACTTAAGAGCTATCAAAATTTAATTCTGATGTTTTCAGAAGAGATTTTGATTTAATTTACACCTATAATTAATAATAGCTTGATTAACACTTAAGGAATTGTTTATGTATAGAGTTCAAATGTAAAACATCACAATAATAAAAAAGGCATAAGCACCACAATAACAGGAAAAGTTAAGGGACAAAATGGAATAATTTTACATCTTATACAATTGATATTTCATCCTTAAACCTTACTTCATTTCAGACATTGGTGCAGTTTGGAATCTGTCTGGTCCTTAGCCGCTCTCCAACCCCAAGGCCACCTAAACACACACACACACAAAGCAGAAATTCACAGTAATTGCAACCAACAGGCAAGGGCAACTCTGTGATCAATGCTTTCCACCTCAGTGTCATGGGATCAGTCCTTGATTACTGTGAATCAAAAACACTCATAAGACAATCACCTTCCCTGACAGCAGAGTAATAAAAGTAGAATGGATGAATTGGGGTCCATCCGCTGTCCTCACGCTTACAAACAACAGATAGCCACAAAACAAGCACGTCTCTCTCCATGCTCTTTGAGCACCAAATCACATCTTTATAAACATTAAAGCGACAGAAAAGGACTTCGCTTGTGGTAAAAGTGCACATAATGGACACAGTATGTAGCTTCACTTGTAGTGTACTTTAAATCTTAAAAGTATATATTTTTTTTAAAAACTGTATTTTCAGATGATATAAAGGAAATAAAAACGCAACTCAAGTGTACTTAAAGAGAGCACACTTTCATGACTGTTTCTGAACACACTTAAGCAAACTTCAAAAAAGTGCACTTTGTAATAATGTCAGGTACATCATCATGCTTTAAAGAAGAACACTTACACTCACCTAAAGGATTATTAGGAACATCTGTTCAATTTCTCATGAATGCAATTATCTAATCAACCAATCACATGGCAGTTGCTTCATTGCATTTAGGGGTGTGGTCCTGGTCAAGACAATCTCCTGAACTCCAAACTGAATGTCAGAATGGGAAAGAAAGGTGATTTAAGCAATTTTGAGTGCAGCATGGTTGTTGGTACCAGGCAAGCCGGTTTGAGTATTTCACAGTCTGCTCAGTTACTGGAATTTTTACGCACAACCATTTCTAGGGTTTACAAAGAATGGTTTGAAAAGGGAAAAACATCCAGTATGCAGCAGTCCTGTGGGTGAAAATGCCTTGTTGATGCTAGAGGTCAGAGGAGAATGGGCCGACTGATTCAAGCTAATAGAAGAGCAACTTTGACTGAAATAACCACTCGTTATAACTGAGGTATGCAGCAAAACATTTGTGAAGCCACAACACGCACAACCTTGAGGCGGATGGGCTACAACAGCAGAAGACCCCACCGGGTACCACTCATCTCCAAAACAAATAGGAAAAAGAGGCTAAAATTTGCAAGAGCTCACCAAAATTGGACAGTTGAAGACTGGAAAAATGTTGCCTGGTCTGATGAGTCTCGATTTCTGTTGAGACATTCAGATGGTAGAGTCACAATTTGGCGTAAACAGAATGAGAATATGGATGCATCATGCCTTGTTACCACTGGGCAGGCTGCTGGTGGTGGTGTTATGGTGTGGGGGATGTTTTCTTGGCACACTTTAGGCCCCTTAGTGCCAATTGGGCATAGTTTAAATGCCATGGCCAACCTGAGCATTGTTTCTGACCATGTCTATCCCTTTATGACCACCATGTACCAATTCTCTGATGGCTACTTCCAGCAGGCTACCTCCACCATGCCACAAAGCTCGAATTATTTCAAATTGGTTTTTCAAAATGCTATCCTATCAATATGGGCCATCATTTCTAAAGAATGCTTTCAGCACCTTGTTGAATTAATACCATGTAGAATTAAGGCAGTTCTGAAGGTGTAGTATGGTGTTCCTGATAATCCTTTAGGTGAGTGTATTTTGATATGTTGACTTACATACTAAAGCACATGTACTTAATTATAATTTTAACTATAATTATAATTAAATGTTGTTTGTTATTACATTTAAAGTTAATATATTTTAAATGCACTACATTGCAAATTCATCATTACAAATATGTAATGATAACAAACTTTTTTCCAAAGATAGATTCCACAAAGTAGATAAATTCAACAACAACAACAACAACAACACAGCAAAGCCTAGAACAGGTCCAGAGGAGGGCCAGAGCTTGCCTCAACACACCTGCCTGGACGTTTCTAGTATGTCTAGTAAGACCTTTATTGGCTGGTCCGGGTGTGTTTAATTGGGGTTGGAGCTGAACTCTGCAGGACAGTGGCCCTCCAGTAGCAATATTAGACATGACCTAGAACATACGCTGTGTATAGTTTGATCACTTCTCTCACCTGGGTTCTGAGCCTCCAGCTCTTTCTCCATTAATTCCCTCGGAGGTGGCAGATGGCTGAAGCTGTTGTGTGTTCCAGTGTTCGTGGGAAACAGTGTGTGTGTGGTGTGTGTGCTGCATGACGTAAACGAAGTGGCTGTTGTACGTGTGCCGTTCTTCTCCTGTTCGACAGCACTGATCATCTCAGGCTCCTTCTCATGGGTATCCTCTGTCTCCACATGGATCCATGGGATTTTACTGAGCAGACAGAAGCAAAAGTAGTGTTGTGGAAAAATAAAACTGGATGTACTTTTCTGTTGCTAATCCAAGCAGAGGAAACAGTTACTGGTGCCAGTAAAGTAAGTGATGATCATTTGTCAGCATTGGCTGGTATTTCCAGGGCATTTGAAAATAACAGTCCACCATAATTGGCCTATATTCTTTGAGCAGAAATGGAGGATTTGGGAGAGGTGAGGCTTACCGTTTGAATTTGTAGATGAAGAGAATGGCCAATCCCACTAGGCCCAGAGAAACAAGTAACAGCATGGCAGAGCCACTGGGGAGAACACTGGAGTCCACCAGAGGTGCTGCAGGCAAACAGCATAACGCATAACTAGTTAGTCTCAATGTTTCATCTCACAGTGTACTTGAAGCCTCTCTCTCTCTCTCTCTCTCTCTAAGAATATATATATATATATATATATATATATATATATCATAATGTACAATCTATGAAAAATGCATTTTATGCACTTAATTTTAATTGTATGTTCTTGCAAAAAATGTATAATTTTAAATTAGTGATGGTTTCTAATTTGAATAGGTATTTTAGCAATGCTGTATGGTTATTTGACAGATAGTGTTCCAAGGCCTCAATATTTTCTCCAAAAAACTTTTGTATACAATTGTATGGAAGCTTGTTTAAGCCACAGAATAAAAAAAAAAAATTATATAAATAATAATTGCGACTTTATCACACAATTGCGAGATCTAAAGTCGCTATTCTGAGAAATAAAGTCGCAATTGCGAGATATTAAGTCGAAATTCTGAGAAATAAAGTCTCAATTGCGAGATTTAAAGTCATAATTATGAGAAACAAAGTCGTAATTACAAGAAAACATTTTATCTCTTTTTAATTTTTAATTCTGACTTTTTTTTCTGAGTTTACATCTCTTAATTATGATTTTATCACACATAATTATGAGTTTATTTCTCGAAATTCTGACATCTTCTGTCATAACTCGCAATTGCGAGTTATCAGGCCAATTCTAAGGAAAAAAAGATTGACTTTTTTCCCCTCAGAATAGTTTATATCTCTCAATTCTGACTTTACAACAGGCAATTATGACTTTATATCATGCATTTCTGACTTTATAACATGCAATTGCGACTTTATAACACACAATTGCGACTTTATATCACACAATTCTGACTTTATATCTCAGAATTGCGATATATAAAGTCGCAATTGCCTGTTATTAACTCGCAATTGTGAGAAAAAAAGTCAGAATTGTGAGATAAAAAGTTCAAATTACTTTTTTTCTTTTTTCATTCTGTGGCGGAAACAATCTTCCATACAATCTAACAACTTTCAATATAATTTCCAAAATGTCCTCCTTCGTGTGACAATGCATTTATTTGTCTAGGAAAACTTGTCTGATTAACTATATACGCAATTATTGATTTAAAAAAATGACTAATTACTATGCTTAATATTTCATACATTGGTTATAGGGACTAATCATACTGAAACCTCTGTATCAAATAGGATATGGCAAGTACTTGAATAAATTTATTTCAAGAATTTTATTTATTTTTATTTATATGTAATGCCTATTTCATAAGTTATTATGCCCATTAAAATAAAAACGACAATATAAAATAATTGTTCTGACATTATTAATAATTTCTTAGGGATTTTCTATTTTCCTATAACTCTTGCTATCAATGATTCTAAATCTTTCTTTTCTCACAAATAATCTCAGAAATAAAACAGAAATAAAAAAGACAAAGTGTATTACTGCTATAACAACAACTGTGAAAACAAAACAAAAATCAGTTGACCACAAGTCTCTTTGCTGTCTCTCAAAGCGTGTCCATTTCAGTAATTCTAAAAACTGTTTCATTCGTTCATCACACACACACACACACACACACACACACACGTGCGCACACAGCAGTCCATCCTTCAGCCCTTTGAGGGTTGACGCATGATGATTGTGACCTTTCGGCAGAATGCAGGAGGCAATCTGAACCTTTTCCTGTTCTGAGCAATGAAGACAAATGGCTGTGTCTGAAAAGGGTAGACTTATATGTGGCAGGGAGACACTTTTTATGATCCTGTAATATCATTTCCAACTCACTATATTGGTCATGCTCAGACAGGCTCCGCATTATCAATATTAATCTAAAGTCCAGGGTAGAGTATCTGTTCTCTAGGATTTCTAGCTCCAAGAGAAGTTTGAAGGATTTGACACAATGGAACGTCAGAAAAGTAATCATTTAGTGTATCTTATATAACCACAGAAGAATAAAGTCACCTCACATATAACCACAGGCAGCGCTGTAATTAACCACAATGAGGCTGCAATTAAATGCAGAACACAATGCGGTAGACAGTTTAATGTAATTAATAACAAAAGACAACAGGCTCTATAACCACAGACAGAACCAGTGTAGTGCATTTTATGTTCCTCTGGAAGGGTCATCTGAGAACATGGGTTGTCCTTTCAAGTGTTCAGGTCTTACCCAGTGTGAGCTGAGACACAGACACAGTGACCCGCGTGTCAGGCTTTAGATCAAACTGGATCAGGTTCTGATTTAAAACGTTTATGAAGACCTCCAACATCTGAAACAAGAGGAAGAGGAAGTTTGAGTTTGGCATGTTTTTTTATTTTGTTGAAAGTCTCTTATGCTCACCAAGGCAGCAGTATTATGAAATATTATTATGAATATTATTGAAATAACTGTTTTCTCTTTTAATATATTTTAAAATTGACGACAAAGTTGAATGTTCAGTTAATTATCATTACTCCAGTCTTCAGTAATCATTTTAATATGCTGTCATCTTATCATTATCAATAAATATAAATATCTTTACTGTCATTAGTCTTAATGAATAAATGTAGAACAACTTTTTTTTTTTGAATGGCACTCTATGTGTCTTGAGTTTATCAGGCTGGAAAAAGGCTTTATTTTTAAGTATGAATCATTCGTAAGCCACTTAAAACGTCTTTAAATGATCATACTACATTTTTCTTTCGGAAAGCCGTAGGTCATCACCCTACATTAGCTGAAAATGCAATAAAAAATAGTGCTGTTTATAGCATAAATTTGAATGATTGTCAAGTATTAATTTGACTGGAGTTTTTATTTCCTTTTATGGTTGCTAGGCATTACAAATTCAGCCCATGACAAGTGAGAGCATGTATTTTTCATCAGGTTTATTCGCTAGTGATAAAGCCTGTTTTTATTGCAACTATAATTTATTTAGCCGTCAGAGAATCATAATAGGTTATTTTAACAGATTGTATCAATCATCAGACCATGTCATTTGGCGAGATCATAGCAAAGCATTTTATTTCAATGTGTGTGTGTGGCTCTTACCTTATCAAGCTGCTCCTCTGTGTGTGATCTGAATACCGACTGGTTCGTCTCAGGTAGGATGAAGAGCTCAGCGGCAGTTGGAGATCCAGGAAACACAGAGACCAACAACTGATCCTTAGGGAAGCCACAAACCTAGGAAAACACACACACACACACACACACAAAAACATACATTTTTCATCCACTAATAAACATTACATTTATCAGCATGCAACATCCATGACGGGATCTAATTCATGCATAAAAGCTAGTCAATCATTTCATGCTCGTTTGCACATTAATAACATCTCAGATAATGTTTGCAAATGATAATAAGTCTGTTCCAGTGAATCTTGAGATGGTTGTCATATTTATTATCATATGATTTTGTGTAACCATACCGAAAGCACTGTTCAAGTTGAAAATCCAGAGGTATTGGGAGACCATTATATTTGTGCTTGAGCGACTCGTTGTAAAGGACTTCTGTGGAGCAGTTCTTTGGCTCTGTTCTTTAATTGGCTGACTGGCTTTAGAGTCTCTCAGTTGCCGCATCAATATTCACTCTGAACTCCTGTGATTCACTCTTGCCAGTAGCACTACATTACCCTATCTCTCGCTCTCAGACTGAGGGGAAATCAGATGGATGCGTGAGAGCACGTAAAGCCTCTCAGCCAAACACAAACCTCGCCAGAGAGCCCAGAAAGAGCCATCAGGCTTAAAACCAGCAGCGTTTGAGAGAAAGGAAAGAGAATAGCTGAAGAGAGAGGAAGCGTGGTGAGCTATCAGCAGCCTTTCAAGAAATTTCACGAGTTCTTTTCAGTAGTTCACTGACATGAACAGAGCACTCCTACAGGAACTGATGATGGACTTTAAGCTCAGTATACCTGAGAGAGCGTTGCCCTGACAACCCGCCCCACGTCCTGTCTCCACTCGGCAACTGACGGGTTGTGCTCTTCCAGGTTAGGAGAGAACGACAGCAGTAAAGAACGGAATAAGTCTAGAAACGAAAGAAATGGGAACACGGTTTATTCTTTTGCAGAGAAGCTCTGCCTAAAATCTTAATTCGGAGTATGTTTTCAATTCTCATTGAAGCTAAAAATATATCACATGCTGTATCTCAAAGAACACTGCAGTGTTTATGACTACAGGAGGTCTTCACCTTTGACAGTGATGATTTTCACATCCTGTAGGATTGTGCCTCCTGCCGACACCTGTACGGTGACAGAGTTAGGTCCCTCTCGTTGGAATGTGTGTGAAACGCTTCCTTCCAGGGTGATCAGTGGCTAAAAACACATATATGTGTGAGATGTTCGGTTCAGATTTAGCTAGGCAGAGAGACAGGAAAGTGAATCAAAACTCTGACTGATTCGTGAGTGGCAGAATCATTTATAGCATCATAGAATAAACCAGTTACAGCCCTACAAGACCAAACTCCCGCTGTGTTTCATGGTTCAGTAGTCTCGGGGCTTTCCGTAGATATATTGGTCTTGGAAATATTCATGCTTTTTCCTAGTATTTCGTAATATGCCACTCCGTTTGTGAAATGTATTCGTAATAATATGGAGTGCTTTGCTGATCTAATTTTGTGGTCCTTTTGTCTTGTTCTGGAACATGATGTTGGGCAACAGCACTAAAATAGAATAACATTTATAAATGGCTTTTTAACATTCACATTCATTCAAAACAACGTGGTAACACTTTAATTCTGCCTAGTTTTTCATCGTAATGAAAGTAGTGGATACGAAAACATTGTACTTTTAGCCTATAAGGGTTAAGTTAATGCATTTACTTCACTTAAATTATTTACAAGTATATTCTTTTTTTTTTAATATCCCTAACACACTGGAGGCTCTCCTTTTTGCCTGGCCGCACTCTTTGGTGTATATTATTGTTTTATTAAACATTAAATGAAACCTTAAAAACAAAAACAACTGGCTTATAAAACAAAACTGGACTGCAAAACTAGGCAACATTTTTGATGCTTTTCAATGGAACTATGTCCTGTTTGCATCACTCTAAAATAATCCTGAAAGCCGGTATTATAATTAACAATAATACAATTACAATTATATTTTATGAAGAGAATCTAAACAGGATATTCAATTGTAATACAAAGCTTCTGCAAGTGAGTATTTAAATGCTTTCAAACTGCTCAGCTCTGTGGCAGGTTTCCAGCAAGAAAACGATGCATAACCATTAAAAGCTGCACTGCCAGAAATGTTAAGTAGACCTGAACTGAATGATCTCATAGTGTGATTAGAAACACAATTAAGTGATATTTGAAAGCATAATTGAATAGGGATTCATATGCCAATAATACATCTATCCTAATTCTGCATGAGACAACAAACCAGAATAAAGTCAGTGATAATCTTGAGAACATTAAGCAATAATTAAAACAGAGTCCAAAACTAAATGCCAGCAATATTGCCAATATATTCTACTGTACAAAAGTTTGGAGTCTGTAAGATTTTTTCAAAATTATGCTCATGCACTACAGCAGCATGTATTTGATTAATACAGTGAAAAAGAATAATGTGAAATATTATTACATTTAAAATAACTGATTTATTTTTCAATTGTAATTTACTATATTTCTGTGACCCCCCCCCCCCCCCCCCCAGGACCCTTTAATGAACAAAGCTGGAAAGCACAACATTTATTTTAAATAGAAATATGCTGTTACATTATAAAAGAGTTATAAACTTAATTTACCCTTGATGACTAAAAGCTTTAAAAAAAATAAAAAAATAAAAATCATAGACTCCACACTTTGGAACGGTAGATTAAATGCCCAACAAAAAGTTGTCTTATGACAAGAGATCTTCAAATTCTATCCAACTTTTTAAATGGGAGCATTTTCCCCTTGTGTTTTCCCAACTATGCCTGTCATTCAACAAAAATAATTTTGACAGAGTTAGAATTTAGTTATTCTTTTTCTTTTGGTAGCAGGTGTTCATTCTGCAAAAGGGAAAAACAGTGTCACAGTACCTCCCCCACTTAAACGTGGCTTTGCTTTTTACTTATTTGACCTCAATCCGAATCCATCCTAAAACAGGTTTAACTCCCTGACCCTGGCAAGCACAATAACTTTTGCAGAGCCCTTGCTTTGTTAGAGGTCAAAAGTAATACTAAAATAGCTGCCTAACTGATCTGGGCCTCTGGGCCACATGTATACAAATATTCTCAGAGAGTTTGAACCTCTGTGCTGTTATTGAACCACCAGTAGAAGGTAGTGGTCTTGGGCTGACTGGGCCACAGCACTGCTGTCAGGTTGGTCTCTCTTCCTCTTATGACGACCACCGGTGTCGAAAGAAAGATACGCTCCACGGGACCTAACATGACACATTGGACGTGATATCTCATCAGACACAATATGAAGTCAATAACAATCACATTTAGCACAGCACACAACAGCAATTTCTGTTTCTACACATCATTTATTGAGAGCTGGTTCAGAAATAGATTGTCTAGATGTGTAGTGAGTGGCAATTTAGTGTGACAGGAAATATTTATTTTTCTTTTTCTTTTTTTTACACTGATGACAGTGGCTACTTCAAGAAAATTCTAATTCTTAGAAATATATGACTGTAGTCATGTACATACTAGTGATGTGCAGATAGACCGAGCTGCTGTCAGACCCCTGGCTGTTCTGAGCACGTGCGGTGACCCTGAATATCCCAGCGACCCTGTACGTGTGTGTGATGCTGTCACCAAGGCGACTTATATTGGAGTATGACACTGAGATGCCATCTCCAAAATCCACATGGAGACTTGTAGACAACGAGTCACCCTACAAAAAAAGAAAAAAAAGTAGATGTATTCTGTTTTCGAGAGACACTGAGGCTGATTTAGTGGATCACAAACCGTGGGCCTTATTTTAACAATCTAAAACATAAGTGTCAAGCGCAAAGCGCAAGTAACTTTGTGGGCGGATCTCGGCGCTGTTGCTATTTAACCGGTTTTATAAGCTCAAATGGTCGCCTTTTTGATAAAAATTAATTTCTTTTCGACTGAAGAAAGAAAGACATTGGGGTGAGTAAATTATCAGCAAAAGTTTATTTTTAAAAGTGAACTACTCCTTTAAAGTGGTCTCTCACCTAAAAATGTTTGAGAACCATTCATGTAAAGCACAACACCTTACTACAGTAGATTAATTACTTTGTGGGTGTGTGTGTGTGTGTGTGTGTGTGTGTGTGTGTGCAGCTGCTAACTCACATTTTGCAAGGCTACTCTGAAGGTGATGTTTGTTCCCAATACAGCAGTGAGCTGAGAGTTGATTGTGCCCAGTTGTAGGCCACTTGGTGCTACGGGTTTACACTGTTGCATTCTGGGACTCAGTGTATCCTTCAGACCTTCTCTACAGTTATTCAACAGAACTCTCCTGTACCTGCACCACCAAGCACAAATACTTTATTAAACATCTCTGTTACCAACAGAAACACAAAAAGGGACATGTAGTTGATACACAAACAATCTTATGCAGGCTATATATGGTAATCTAGGGCAGGACTGCTATTACTTTATAAGCTAAAGAGAACATGTCACAAAGAGATTCATATTACATCTATGAATCATTCTGTATTGTGTGTGTGCCTGTGCATCTGTGTGCATGTGTGTTACCCTGTGCTGTTGCGGAAACGCTGTCCATGGCTGCAGGTGTGTGCTGGTAAATTGACATCATACCAGAATGCAGGTGCACATTTTCCACTAGCCTGTCTTTCAAACCCATAATCACTGCAAGGAAATCATAAAAACACATCAATTATTCAGTTTGGTTAAGCTCCTCACTATAAGACCACAGCAGTCTATAGAGAGTAGTGGCTTGAATGTGACTGCAAAGTAAAGGGTTTTCAAGGTCTCTCATGCACCGTAGGATTAACTAAAAACCTATCTTTAAATTTGCACTGTATTATTCGTGTTGTCAATATGAAAGATTAAATCATCAGCTAAATAATCTGTTTATAACTTAGCAGTTAAAATCACTAAACTGCACTCGGAACAGTGTAATATTTAGTTTGAATTATAGTTAATACAGAACCAAATGGCATACAGCAATTAACAACAGCCGCAGGGACTCTCAGGAGGCCTACAAGTCATTTCAGGAAGAGAGACCCTCGAAACGGGAAGCAGTTCGTCGCACTTGACATGAACGGCCAAAGTAGTATTCCAAATTCGAAAAAGTTTAACCAAAAACAACACTGACTTGGAATCAGATTGTCAAACCTATTTTGGTAGGTACAAACCTATCGGTTCATACTGTATAAAGCGGTCGTATCTCTTCGGAAAATTTGGACTAAACTGCTTAATTAATATGGATTCGTTTTATGATCTCTTCATTAACTTTTTGAAGCGTCAAATTTGTAGTTGCTTAACTGTCAATGGAGGGACAGGAATCACCCAGATTTCTTCAAAAAAGTTGTATTACGAACATGAACGAAAGTCTTAGACTTGACTTGTGGGTTTACAACATTTAAGCTGTAGCGGATCAGGGCTAAACTCAGTAACACCAGCTCCTTTAGGCTAATCAGATCACTGCCACATTTATCATCCATTTAAATATTCATTACTTATTCATTTGAAGATAATTAATCATTTGACATTATGCTAATTTTGCGCGCCTCTCATTCTCATGTGTAATTTGCCTAAGAGCAGACGACTCTAATGGAGCCTGTGTGCGGTACAAGAGAGATTTATGTCGTCGTTATGATCAGCGCAGTAGTGTCTCTCCATGTGCATCGTGGTGGGCTTGTAAAGACATCTCCATCAGTTTAGCGATATGATTACGAAAGACCGATGTAAAACCAGGCTTTTACCTTGCCGCCTCAAGAGCAAACTAATTTAATGTAGCGACTGCAACATTATCATAAGCTGCACTGAGCAGACGTTTGACGAAGGACAGATGAAGAGAAAAAACTTGTTTTTTTACATTCAAATACCACTTAATTAATCTGTATAATTGGGTGGACCCCTGCAGCTTTTGTTCTCTGCATGCAACATTGAGTCCTTTGATCCGCAAGAGTCACTGTCACTCATTTCCTCCATTGGAAAAGCAGCTGCTCTGCATTTCGGCGTGTGTGCACGTATGCATGCCTGTGACTCACCACTCAAAGTCATAGAGGGTGCAGATGCAGGGCTCAGCTGAAACGACTCGAGAATACTCCCGACCCAGAGTGCAGCGTGTGCCGGGCTTCCTCTTCATATACACCTGTCTCTCTCCCATCACACACACCTCGTCCTTAAATGCACATAAACATGTCAATAATAAAGTAAATAATAAAGATTTCATCCAAAATAGGCTCGCAGTTTTCGAGCTTAGCTAAGTATGGCTACAATAGTAAAAAAAAGTGTATTGTGCTTTCCAAAAAAAAAAAAAAAAAACAGATTTGGCATGCAATTTAGGCTGACTCTGTAAAAACACAAGTGAGAGTCAAAGCTGATGGACAACATGTCACCAACATTATGGTGGTGGCTAGATCTTTTGCAAAAACACATTACGACCATTAATTTCCATTCTGCTTGGGCATGTTAAAATAATCTCACGTGCCACCCTAATTACTAGCAAATACAGTGCCAAAAGAAACTAATGTTGAATGTTGAGTGAGTGAATAAGTGTTTTGCTGTTGAGACCAAACAGCAAGGCTTGCAGATAAATGTGAGGTGACAACCTTGTTATGGAGGTGCCATGTCTGAAAGTCTCCGTCTGTGCATTTCCGCCCAAACAGGGAGCTGTAGTCAATCTTTATCAGCTGCCAGTCGGAGTGGTAACTAAAGTGCCCGAAGAAGCTACAAGGACAGAGGTGCTTAAGTACAACAGGATATGTTTACTTTTACATTCTTTACAGTTGCTAAGGGACCAAAAGGACACATTTTGCTATGGCAAATCTGTAAAGGACTAATAGGAAGTGTCAGTAAAACTACATTGCTGTCAGTACAAATAAGTGTGCAGGATCCTAGTCCAGACCTCCAAAAGAAAAGATATAGAGTCCTATCTTGCACCCGGAGCAAATTACTTTGTACACTGATGCATATTTTCATTTTCATATTTTGTACCCGCGCAAAGCAGGCTTTTCCCTCCACAGACGCATGTCACTAAACTAGGAAATGAACTCAAAAAGGAGGAGTGTTCTGGCACAAACATTCCCTAGTGCTATTTTGCAGTTCCAGGAAACAATTCCGCCACTGACCAGGAAAAACCTAGTCGAAAGTCAGTGGCGCGTTGCACATTTTTAAGCATGCATGCTTGGCCATAATGTAGCGGGTGATTCTCTCATCAACACAGATGCAGCAGTTTTTATTTTTGCAAATCATACATTATAACAAGGAAACATATTAACACTTGAGGGAAATCATTGTGGTGTCCATGAAGATGTAAAAAATGTAGGCCTAAATCTAGCTTACACATTTACCCAATTTTTTCAGGCTAATTATAGTAATATAGTAATTGTAGTAATATATGTTATAAATAGCAATCCACCATGGAACATGCGCACCTGCTCTTAAAGGGTATTTGGATGATGCTCTGATTGGTTTATTTCACGTTACACCCAAACCACACCTATGAATAATGAAGCTTTATCAGACCAACCCCTTTTAAACTTCATTTATCCCACCGGTAAAACAGCGCCCAAGACCCGAACACAAAGTTAATTGTGCTTCGCGCTTGATACTTGCGTTTCAGATCATTAAAATAGGGCCATTAATCTGATAATAATAATCCTAATCAAGTGAGGGTTCATTACTGACTATGGCAAGCCGTTTTAACGTTTAATCATTTTAACCATCTAGTCTCTATTTTCATGCTACTAGTACTTTTTTTTTTTAGATACTATTATCTATTTCATTAAGTACTAGTACTTATTCATTAGCTACCAATGCTTATTCTTTAGGTACTGGTGCCTTTTCTTTAGATACTAGTACTTATTCATTAGATACTAGTCCTTATAGTATTTATTCCAAATGTAACTAGTAAGAATTTTTATTTTACTAGTAAGATTTTTAAATTAATTAGTGTTTTTTTAATTACAAATTACATTACATTATTAGTGTAATTTTTAATTACAGTGGCCGTTCTGACTAGTTATAAAATAAGACTAGTAAAAATGCAGTTGTGACTAGTAAAATAAGATTAGCTACTAGTAACAATTACAAAAGACACTAGAGTCTAATAAATAGGTACTAGTATATATTGAATAAGTACTAGTATCTAATGAATAAGTACTAGTATCTAATGAATAAGTACTAGTATCTATTGAATAAGTACTAGTAGCTAATGTATAAGTACTAGCATCTATTTAATATGTACTAGTATCTATTTAATAGGGACTAGTACCTAATGAATAACTACTAGTATCTAATGTATATGTACTAGTCACAATTGGAATACATACTAGTCAGAACTGAATAGTTGACATCTGAATGACAGATCCCCATAGAAGTCAATGGCAATAAATAAATAAATAAATAATAATCAATATTGAAATAAGGACCAGTATCTAATGAATACGTACTAGTATCTATTTAATAGACACTAGTATCTAATGAATAAGTCCTAGTATCTAATGAATAAGTACTAGTAACTAATAAATAAGCACTGTTATCTAATAAATAAGGACTAGTATCTAATGAATAAGCATTGTTATCTAATAAATAAGGACTAATATCTAATGAATAAGCACTCTTATCTAATAAATAAGGACTAGCATCTAATGAATAAGCATTGTTATCTAATAAATAAGGACTAGTATCTAATAAATAAGGACTGTTATCTAATAAATAAGGACTAGTATCTAATTAATAAGTACTAGTATCTACTAAATAATGACTAGTATCTTATGAATAAGTACTAGTATCTAAAGAAAAGGCACTAGTACCTAAAGAATAAGCACTAGTAGCAAATTAATAAGTACTAGTACTTAATGAAATAGATACTAGTATCTAAAACATAAGTACTAGTAACATGAAAGACTAATAGGTTAAAATTATTCAATGTTAAAACGGCTTGCCATATACTGACACCTCCTGGACTATTTAGATATGTTTGTCTGAGAAGATGAGATAAAATGATTCTTACGTAATGATGCGATTCTCAGTCTCTGGAGTCATCAAAACCCCGTCAACAAATAGGGGTGTAGATGAAAAGCTGAGTTTGTCCCACTGCCGGCCTTCATCCAAACTAATCCTAGACACACATACACAAATCTTTTTCATTTCACTGACAAAGCACATTAGGTTCATATTCTGATTAATATACTGTACAATGCACATTTGACAAAGGCATAAAAATAGAAGATGCATTTGTTCAGCCATCTGAGAATATTTAGCAGATCCACAAAAACAAGTAATTGCGGAGTCACTGCATTAACATTTATTGTGGGCTACATCTGCATAATTACATTAAAATCAAATCTAATATATGCTCATTGAAAAATATCAAGACTAAATTATTCACCATACCCCACTTGTGTATACATTACACTCTAATCATTATTAGTCATGTATAATGTATATTATGTCTCATTACACATTCAGTCCATTTTGCATTTCATTGTTCTGTTGCATCCCCTTATTCTGATTTCCTTCTGTCCTTTGCATTACATTGCATTATTTTGCTCTGTGCAAGTGCCTCTTCAGTGTGTTTTGTTTTCAGATCTTGTCCTTTCTATGAATGTATTGTACTTTAAAGTCCCTGACTGTGTTAATGACATTTATTCTTGTGTGTTTAGAGCCCTCCTGTTTGTCCTATTATCTGAGCATTGAATGTTTAAACATTACACATTAGTTATGTGCTAGTTGTGTTCTTGGGGATCTTTGTTAACTTTAGATCAAGTTAATTTAGGATCAATTTGGTTATATACCTTCAATAACAAACTGCAACTACCTGGCATTGCCTTCATGGCATTTCTGCATTCATGATTTTAATAGTTAACACCATCTATTGTTTGTACTCTATTCTGGAAATTTGTATAACAGTTTTTACAAAAAAAAAAAATATATTTTTTTATTTAATATTTTTTTAACAAATAATAAAATATTAATTTCACAAAAGCATCCCACAGGAGAATACAAATTATCTTCCACAGCCTAATTGATCCTGACAACGTTTCAGAGCTTAGTACATCAAAGCTGCGCGTGTGTGACATGGCAGGAACAACATGTGAACGGAAGCCCACCGAATCCCACCTCGACTTCAAACCTTAACCCTCCCCAACATGAGCATAAAAGCCCTGGCAAACACAACCACCTGAACTACAAAGCCATGACAGGCACTTTCCGCTAAAAGGATTCCAAATGTTTGATATGATAAGACCTATTGCCTGCTGTTTATATCTGCCAGTCCCCGAATAAAAGCTGACGTTTAAGTGTGAGGTAACTTCAAAAATTTAGTCTGAATAAAAAATATCCAAAAAGTTAGAGATGAACTGCAATGAACTCAAAATGGATAATCTCTCCAGCCTTCTGTGTAACATACTGTACATATTATTTGTGAAGGCAGTGCATTTATTAATCCGTGTGTTTGTATGCATTTTATCTTACCATAAATGGCGTGTAGGTACAGCAGACTGTGTAACAGCTAATAAAGCCCCTCCGTGATCCAAAAACCAGACACTGTGCTCCTCTTCAAAAATCTAAAGACAGTGTTTACAGAGTCAAAAACCTGCAAGGTAATTCAACATCCTGTCTCTTTGTGTTTCAGTTCATTTGAGTGGTGATGAGGGACCAGATGCTTTTATCTAATGACTGCAATACAGTCAACAACTCTGAGCAGGTGATCGATTTACCTGTCTCCATGTGTTGCCGGCATCAGAGGAGATGAACATTCCTGTATTAGAGAAGGAAAGCTCGGGCCCAATGTTACCTGAAAGTAAAAATACTGCTGTAACTCTGACAGATTCATTATTATTAACCATAAATATGCTGGAGGAGAAGATTTGATTCAATTTCACATAATAGAATATAATAGAATTCCAAAAGGTAAAAAAAAACAACTGAAAAAGAGGTCTGTGATATTCAGCATATTTGGGTAATTATGCAAACGCAAGCAAGAACATAAAGCTCTATACTGCACTACAAAGGCAAAACTGTTGAATTTGAATTCATAAATTCTCACATTTAATCAGAAACTGAGCATAGCTGATCCAAAACTGTCAGTCACAAGACAGTTCATAGTCTAAGACAGAGTTTTTTTTTAATTCTTTGACACCAAAAACTCCCCCATATGATGTTGCCCGCATTATATTGTGTGACACTGTAAAGACAAAAACAAAACAAACAAATAAACTGTTTCCAAAATTAATTAATTGGTAACACTTTACAATACGGGTGCACTAATAAGCATTAATTCATGCTTAACTATAATGCACAGATAATACTTAATTAATGTGTAACTAATGATTATCTAAGCAATTCATTAATGATTACCACATTAGGAACTAATTAACAGTCTGTAAGGTTAATCTATTAGTTCATACATTAATTGTTATTAATTAAATATGTAATTGTGGATTAATTCCATAATAACTCATTTTTACTACTAACTAATTAATTACCAGAATGAGCCAAAGCCTTGTATTTCAACTTCCAGATAATATGACAGGTACACTAATATGCATTAATACATGATTAATTACTTCATTGTTAGTGCAAATGCATGTGCAAATTACTACAATTACTAAATGAATAGTTAATAATGATGTGCCCCAACAAGTAAAGTCATTACATAATGATATACCTTTGCAAATCTTCAGCTAATGATTAATTAAAGGAGACAACTGGAAGTTGAAGTGCATAGCTTTGACTAATTGTGGTAATTAACACATTAATTTACACTATTAGTTAATAAAATATGTTACATAATGACACATTGAATTATAGCAATTCATGTATTACTTAATCTATTAATCATATAGACTCTTTATTAGTTGCTGATGCAATAATCATTAAAAAATGGTTTAGTTCTTCATGAGTTATACATTAACTCATGATTATCTGTGCATTAGTTAAGCGTGAATTAATGCATATTAGTGCACCCGTATTGTAAAGTGTTACCAAATAATTTGCTTCTATATTATCATTGTACTAAAGAAAATTTGTGTATTTTTGTGTACAGCATTTCTGAGATAAACACTATCTTTGTAAAACATTATATATTTCATTAGTTTCTCAAGTACAGCAACACATTTTTAAATCTCTTTTTCTCCAATTATATTGTGCCCCCTTTGCCATCCCCATGGGTTAAATCATGGGTAATTTAGGTTAACTCAATTATGTTAACTCAATTACAGCAGTAATAATCCAGTTAAATCAATAATCTATGATGTCCTAAAGAATTCCTCATGCACATTGTCTGGTGGGGTTAATGCCAGTTGGGTATGAGTGCCCTGAAAGACCACAATCATCATGACGCCTCATGAAAAAACATTTGGAAAAGCTGCTGGCATTGAAAAAAAAAAAAAAAAATATATATATATATATATATATATTATTTATACACTCTGAGCGTAGGAAAGTGATTGCGGAACAGCTGTCGGACATGACAGGTAATTATGAATGTGGAAGACACTGGTCATATTTTCTGCGTGCTCTGCATGGCTAACTTTTTGAGCGTGCATCTATCTATACTCATGCAGGAATCTATCTGGGCCTGAGTTTTGAAGATAACTTTATAATGAATCTGACAAGCAAAAGAACAGCGTGAAATGAGTTTTTGTTCCAATCATGCCAAACTCTGCAGCTGCAAAACAGAAAGATGTAACAACTTGAAAGCTGTGATGTGGCCACTTAAACTACATCTGCATTCAAAAGCACGCACATTTATATGTCTTCTTCACTCTAATTTATCACAAACACCTGGGAGGACCGTCCTCATGATGCCACAAGCATAAAAAACAATAAAGGAAGTGGCTCAGTAACACACACACACCTGTGGCCACTATAATCCCTGGAGCGGAGTGTTTGGTGGAGATAGTGTCAGGTGTGTAGGGGTTTTCAGACATCTGCAGGTGAAGGTGCAGTGAGCACGAAGGCTGAAAATTAGAATATTACACAGTATTAAATTATATTTCAATACATTTACATTTATCTACATAATCTCCCCTACATCAACCGACTGTAGCATCAGGTTTCAAAAGCCTTGTAAATTAATCAGTTTCGGATCTCCGCGGCTTCTGTCCATTTTTAGTTTTCCTTACAATTAGTGTGACCCAGTTCTTGCGGAAACGAACAAAATTAAATGTTTGATATTAGAGCTTCAAAAAATCATAATGTAATTACGCCAATTAGAATTCAGCATCAATACGTGTCAAAAATGCAGTTAAACAAATGCAATCAACCACCTAGTGATTCAAAACTATTTGCATATGCAAGTAAGCAGCAAACTATTGTTCTCACAAGTTGGCTGTGTGTACAAGAATGAGTGAATGTGTGAATTCTTGTTCTGAATTCTTCTTGGTTGTTTAAAGTTGGTAATAAGTCCCAAAATACCCAAAGCACAAGGACTGGGGGAAAAAAAAATGTTTCATCTTGTGTTTCTAAAGAATGACAACACATGTTCAAACACAGAACCCACTGTCTTTTGGTGCAGCAGAAAAAAAAGTAATTAAGATTTTCTGAGATCTTCTGATAAATTAACTCCAGTTGTTCAATGTATGTCGTAATTGAAATCACCAATCTTCCAGAACAGTGTAAAACATCAGTGAAAGTCATTACAAAGATACAGAGAAGGTAGTGTGTCTTAATCAAACCATCAGAAAGCACCGAATTCAGAGCTATTGTGTGGTAGTTGGCGGTCACCCTCATTTCACTGTGAGACTAAAGGAGTTCCTCTGTACAGGGCTCCACTGTAAAAATGCATCAAACGTGAAATGTCTTGTTTTCATCTGACCACAGTCAAGTAGATGTGTCCGAGTATAATGTATATACTGTAGTGGGTGTATCTTATTTTAATTAAAGTGAGAGTGGCTGTGGTTGTGACTAGGATCAACAATATTAATGGCTGTTTTATGTTAAAGAGCACCTATCATGGATTTTTGAAAATGACTGTTCATGTAGTGTGGACTATAGCTCTAAGGAAATGAAAACATCCTGCAAAGATTTATATCTGAAAGTGCACCGTATATAAAGTTATTGTCTTTCAAAAGTGAGAGTCGACTCTTAGTCTATGAAATGAATTGTTTTTGAAACGAGTCATTAGCTGTTACATCGTGACGTGGATATGTCATTGGCCGCTCCCAACAACTGCGCGCGCAGACTTGAAGTGACGTCTAGAACACATTCAAATACTTCAGCTGAATCGCATCATGTCGAGAAGACACTGTGTTCTACATTGCAAAGACAGTTCAGCCAATTGTTTACATTGTCCAGGGACAAGCATGTGAAGAATCAGTGGTCAGAGTTCATATTTGCAATGATACCACAACAGTATAGCCCAAACCTTGTGTTCTCATCATTTTAATGATGAATCAATCAAAATTCAAAAACCTAAATGAATTCATATGTGGATTCACAAGCCGGTTGTTCCCGAAGGAGGGCTCAGTATCCAGTGTATATGGATCAGGTTCGTCCTCCTCCGAATCACAATCTGTAAGTAATATTAATAATGTTTGCTGTTATGTTTTCTGTAGCATGCACAATATAGTTATATTGTGTTGTGTACACTCTGCGCATCTTCTAAGCGGGATAAAGTAAGTTTTGTTTTTGATATTCACCAGACATTCATTAAAAAATAGCCAAATATGACTTCGCTCTATATAATAAGCACTGCCCCTCAAAATCCGCCGCAATGTGAGTTTCGCCGGGAAAGCTTGCACCTCATTACACCGGAGACGCGAGTAAGGGACCGTGTGGAAGTGCACTTTTTCTGACACGTTTGTTCAAACACTATATACAAGTTTCAACACTTGACAAGCTATAATACTGGTTATGGGCGTTCCATTGCCGACAGTCTCTGCCTACGGTTTACCAATAACAACTAACTGGGTCATTTGACTAATTGCCGCAGATTCGCGTCACTCAAGGAGGTGTTTGGGAACATGAATCGTCGAACGAATCATTTGGGAGTCGTTGAGCAAATCAGTTAAAAATAAATGCATATTACAAGACAAATGAAGTGTTTTTTTATCATTGCATGCACGTTGAAATGTTTTTGGGAACTCCTAAAACAAAAATAGGAACATTTCAAATGCTATGATAGGGGCTCTTAAAATAGTATTTCACCTACTTTTATTTTGGTGACGTATGCCTTTTTTGGCAACGTCTCCATGGAAATGTATACCTGCATAAATTTAGCCCAGCAGTTCTCACCAGGTTGCAGACGATGTCATGTCCTGTAGTGTCTTTTGCCGGAGGCTGTAGTAATCTCCATGTCTGGCCTTTGCTGTAGGTAATATATGTTTTCATCTGCATATCTTCCTTTTTATTGGCTATGATCAGCCCACTAACACCTGCCACCTATAGGATAGGAAAATAATCATTTCCAATATAATATGAATAAAATATAATAAAATATATATAAGAATTATTATTATTATTTACAGTTACATATAATCTTTGGATAGAGGCCAAAAGAAGAGAGTGAAAGGATTTCAGGTTCTACATTATTACAGATTACCCTCTTTTCTCTTTGCATTTTTGCTTACGCTACAATTTCTGGATGTTTTCAGTTGCGCTCATTATCAGATTTTCTTCTTTCTTTGTATTTATAGTCTTTAATGGCGTAACTTCAAACATTGTTGCTTTGTGCTGCATTACACAGTTCCCTGTTCTACTTTAGAAAAATTCCTGGAGAAAGTTTTTCTAATTGCGTACAATGCCCCGGTTTCATAGACAGGACTTAGATAAAGCCAGGATTAGGCCTTAGTTCAATTAGAACATTTAAATAGCTTTTATAAACATTCCATAGGAAAAAAAAAAACATTACTGGTGTGCATCTAAAAACAAAAGAATGGCACTGACATGATTTAAGATATGTCTGTGCAAGTTGCTTAAAGTTAAAACTGCTCAAAAATACATTTTAATGTGAGACTAGAGCCGCGTTTCCACCGCAGGAACTTTCCCCAGGAACTAGGAACTTTGTGGTGGTTCTCAAGAACCAGGGTCTAAATGAAGTTGACACACTCAAAACTCAGAACAAACGTGCAGACTGGGAGGAGCAGTCTCACACAGTTCAACGTCACCATAATCTTTCCGGTACTTTAGTCCGTGGTGTAAACTCAGTAAGCAACCGGTCTGGGGCAAAACAAGTTCCAAGTTCCTGGGACAAATAGTTCCTGGTAATTGCGGTGGAAACGCGGCTTAGGTTAAAGCCTTGACTGTGAAACTGGGGGATATGTATTTGTGAACATTCAAGATGGTAAACTTCTTTAATTTATTTGTCAAGCACTATCAGGCAATACATATGCGCAGACCTTGTAGACATCCACAATGAGGTTTCCTGCGAGACCGCGGGAAGTACGGAGGTTTGGGAGCGAGCGGGTGAAGTAGACTCCAGGTGTGTCAGAGATGTACAGACTGTAGGTGTCATTTTCGTTCCATTCCTGAACTGCTGCCAACACTTGCCCCTCATCTGTACTGACAATATGCATGTCCTGCACGGGGAACAGCTGTTAGAGCCACATATATTTCATCTGACAACTTTTTTGTGACAGCTAGTGCTGTGTCATATGTCTTACTTTGGGAAGGCAGTATTTAGGGAGCTGTATGGTCCTAAAGGGCCCTCGCTGATAGGATACAAAGTATGTAGTTCTTCCTGCAGTGGTTAGCTGATACACACACAGACAGCATTTACAAGGACTTACAACAGAGATCAGCATTTTACACCAGTCAGAACACATGCCTGCTTGTCTATCATAGAAGTGACTTTCCGTTGCTCATGATCTGAAGTTTTTAGCATCTCAGAGTGGCTGGTTCATGGTAAAAGCAGCAAACCATCTCAGCATTTGCCAACAAATGATTACAGCATTTCACTAGATTTTAACTCTAGATTTAAACTCTCTAAGTAAAATAATTAATACATATAATAATGTTTTTATTTTTGTGTGTATCCATGTAGGGTTGTTTTACATGCACACTTATAATAAAGCTACAGCATTGTTGTTTTTTTGACAATGCATAATTGCATAAATGAAAGATTAAATACATAGCTTTCTTTTAAGGCAAACGTACAACCTCAATTGTAGTCAAATTGTTGGATGAAGTTGAGATAATCGCATAATCTAGGTCACAGCATTTTAAAGAAGCAATTTGGTAACAAAATCAAGCATCACGTTAATCCAAGCCGGCTATGTAGTCAAGCTCTGCAATCAGCTGTCATTAGCCGACTGGGGAAAAATACTAAACTGCCCACATCAGCTGATTCAAATTCTATGCACTCTATTGGCAACACTCAAATGAGGCGCCTTACTTAAATGAAGCTCATTCTGCTTGCTTGGGTGCTTTCACATGCTGTTTGCAACTCAAGCCCTTCCCAGCTCCTCCTCTAACTTGTGTTTAACTTTATCAATCTCATTCTGTTGCCATTGATGCATGCTCGGTTCTCAATGGGGATTTTTGCTGCTCTCCCAAATTAAAATTTGGGAGGTTGTACCCAAAAGCTGCTGCTGATCCCCATCCCCATGCAGGGGAATTTAGAACAGAGCCGTAACTGCCAAATGCCAAAAAAACGTCTCGGTTACGTATGTAACCCTCGTTCCCTGAGTAGGGAACGGAGACGTTACGTCAGAAGTGACGGAGATTGGGGGTTTCGCATAGAAAGCCAATCCTCTTCGAGTATTTAAACACGAGCCAATGGCATGCAATGCCTTGGGGCTGCGGAAATTTGCATAGCGTACTCCGCCCTACTCCGTGAGTATAAAAGGAGGAAGTGAACGCAACCGCAGTATGTCTTCGCTGAGGAGCCAAGACTGAACTCGGCATCTACCCAGCGATACAGCAGAAGTGGCAGGGAGACGTAACGTCTCCGTTCCCTACTCAGGGAACGAGGGTTACATACGTAACCGAGACGTTCCCTTTCGTAGTCACTTCGAGTTACGTCAGAAGTGACGGAGATTGGGGGTCTGTGCCATCACGCCAACTTCAGGCTGTCTTCCAGTGCCCTGCGAAAGTCTGAACCCCCGAGCCTTACCTGTTTTCCTTAGGGGATCCGACTTAGACACAGGATTACCAAGGTACACTGGGAAACATATCCCGAAGGGGACATGCTACCAGCTGCCTACCGAAGGGAGGACTTACGAATACACATATGGCCACATAGGAACACATATGGAATCACTGGAGCACCAACCGCAGGTGGCTACTAATTCCAGCTCCAGGGGTGGCAGATGGCTTGCCAAGGGAAGACACATGCTCAGAGAGGCTTACAGTGGATAATACACATGAGACGGTTACCAAGGGGGAACCGTACGCATGGAGGCACCTAGCCAGCATCCAGAGCCACAGCAGTGGTGCCCGCATCGTCGGTGCTGGAGGACTCAAGGCTTCAATGGAAGAACTGAGGAAATATCGCACTTATCCAGTCCGGGGAGTGGAGTGGCGAGCAAGCGAAGACACCAGAGCGGATCCAGAACTGGCCGAAACGAGTATGTGAGAGGATACCGGCTCAATTCGCAGATTATAGAATCTGGCGAAGGTGTTGGGTGTCGCCCAGCCTGCAGCTCTGCAGATGTCTGTTAGCGAGGCGCCGTGCGCTAAAGCCCAAGAGGAGGCCACACTCCGAGTGGAATGGGCCGTCACACCAAGGGGGCACGGAAGGCCTTGCTGCTGGTAAGACAAAGCAATGGCATCCACTAACCAGTGGGACAGCCGTTGCTTTGAGAGAGCCCTTCCCTTCTGGCTCCCCCCATGACAGACAAAGAGCTGGTCTGAGGTCCTGAACACTGCGTTCTGTCGACATAGGTGCGGAGAGCACGTACCGGACAGAGCAGTGCCAAGGCTGGGTCTGCCTCCTCCAGGGGCAGCGCTTGCAGGTTCACCACCAGGTCCCCTTAGGGGAGTGGTAGGAACCATGGGCATATATCCAGGCCGGGGTCTCAGGAATACGTGAGAGTAAGCCGGCCCGAACTCCAGGCACACTTCGTCAACAGAGAGTGCGAGCAGGTCCCTTACTCTCCTGATGGAGACCAATGCAATCAGGAGTGCTGTCACATAGGACAGGGCAAAAACTCTACCGACTGCAAAGGCTCCAGGGGAGGCCTCTGCAGAGCACCCAGGTCTACTGAGAGGTCCCCAGAGGGCAGGAGGGGAGGGAGGCGGATTTAGCCCCCTCGCTCCCCTCAGGAACCTGATGACCAGGTCATGCTTCCCATAGACTTACCTTTCACTGCATCATGAGACGCGGCAATGGCCGCGACATAAATCCAAAGGGTGGAGGGCGACAGCCTACGCTCCAACCCCTCTTGCAGGAAGGAAGCACGACTCCGATCGAACATCTCCGGGGGTCTTCTCAGCGAGAAGAACACCAATTGACGAAGAGGTTCCACTTCAACGCATAAAGGTGTCTCGTGGACGACGCTCTTGCGGAAGTGATGGTTGCCGCCACCGCAGGTGGCAGCGAACTCAAACCTGCCTCGTCCCGTCCTGGAGCCACACGTGCAGCCTCCAAGATCGGGACAAGGGTGCCACAGAGTGCCCCGTCTCTGAGAGAGTACGGTCTCAGAGGAATAGGCCAAGGAGGTGCTGTCGCGAGGAGCATGAGTTCGGAGAACCACGTCTTGGTGGGCCAGTAGGGGGCTACCAGCAAGACCTGCTCCTCGTCCTCCTTGATCTTGCACAACACCCGTGCAAGGAGGCTCACTGGGGGAACGCACACTTGCGTGGGCCCCGTGGCCAGCTGTGCGCCAGCGCATCCGAGCCGAGAGAGCCGCGGGTCAGGGAAAAAACTGGGCGCAGTGGGACGAGTCCCGAGAGGCGAACCGGTCTATCTGTGCCTCCCCGAACTGGTCCCAAATCAGCTGGACCGACTGGGGATGGAGTCGCCATTCGCCGGAGATGGAACGGGCCCGGGACAGCTCGACGGCTGCCCGGTTCCGGTCTCCAGGAATGTAGCTGCACGAAGGGACCTCAGGTGCTTCTGACTCCATATCAAGAGGTGGCGGGCGAGCTGCGACAACCGGCGCGAGCGTAGACCCCCCCTGGTGGTAGATGTACGCTACTGCCGTAGTGTTGTCTGAGCGGACAAGCACATGCTGGCCCTTGAGCACGCTCGGAAGCGGTGCCGGGCGAGCCGTGCTGCCAACAGCTCGAGGCAATTGATGTGCATGAGGCGCTGGGCTCCTGTCCAGGAACCGGCGGCTGCATGCCCATTGCACATGGCACCCCAACCCGTGGTAGACGCATCCGTGGAGACAACGAGATGCCTGGAAACTCGCTGAATAGGGACCCAGTCCGTAAAAAGCTGAGGTTCGACCACGGGAAGAGGGTTCGGCGGCACGTCGGAGTCACTGGAACTCGGAGCGAGCCGCGATGCCATGCCCACCTCGGGACTCGATCGCGAAGCCACAGCTGAAGCGGTCTCATATGAAGCAAACCGAGCGGCGTACCGCGGATGCCATATGCCCCAGGAGCCTCTGAAATAGTTTCAGTGGAACCGCACTCTTGCCCTCGAACTGTCGAAGACAAGCCAGCAGTGAGTGCGCGCGCTCGTCGTGAGCTGCGCGGACATGGCGACCGAGTCTATCTCCATGCCGAGAAAAGAGATCCTCTGCACGGGGCAAAGTTTGCTCTTTTCCCGGTTGACCCGAAGGCCCAGACGGGCTTGGTGCCGTAGCACCAGGTCTCTGTGTTCGCAAACCCGAGCTCGAGAGTGTGCTAGTATCAGCCAGTCGTCGAGATAGTTCAGGGTGCGAACCCCGTGTTCGCGAAGGGGAACAAGGGCTGCCTCGACGATCTTCGTGAAGACGCGAGGGGACAGAGCTAACCCGACTGGGAGAACGGCGTACTGGTATGCCTGGCCCTCGAAGGCAAACCGAAGAAACGGTCTGTGTCGAGGGAGAATGGAGACATGGAAGTACGCGTCCTTCAGGTCGATCGCTGCAAACCAATCCTGATACCGAACACATTCGAAAATGCGTTTGGCCGTGAGCATTTTGAACGGTAGTCGATGGAGAGAACGGTTCAAAATGCGCAGGTCCAGGATCGGTCGTAACCCACCGGTCTTTTTTGGGGACAATGAAGTAGGGGCTGTAAGCCCGGACCTCACCTCGGCTGGAGGGACCGTCTCGATTGCACCCTTCGCCAGCAGGGTCGCAATCTCCGCTCTCAAGACTGGGGCATTGCCACCAAACATCGCGGAGCGAACTCCCCTGAAGCGGGGAAGAGACCGTGCGAACTGAATCGCGTAGCCGAATCTGATCGTTCTGATGACCCAGTGGGATACCCGGGAAGCGCTAGCCAGGCTTCCAGGAAGTGAGCCAACGGGGTCATGCGAACCACAGACGTCCCCCCGGAGGGGCAGCGAGGCGGGTCGACCGGCATGCGTGCAGGAGTTACCCCGTCCGGATGCACCGTCGAAACCCGCTCCCCGACAGAAGAGACCAGGGAAGGCAGAGCGTTCCACGGGGGTCTGTTCTGCCGGGGGTCTGGCGACAGAGGGGGAAGGGATTGGCGTAGCCCGGGGACGACACACGCACCCTTCCGCGCCCTCCGAGACAGAGAGGAATGAACGGGGCGACGCACTGGACGTCGTGCGCGCTCATTCCAGTCTGTGTGCTCAATGACAGTGTCAGCTTTTCCTCAACCAGCTCAGGGAGCTAGCTAGAACAAAAGATTCTCCACCGGCCCTCCACCGGGGAAGGAGGGGCCCTGCCACCGCCTCCTGAGAAAAACCATGACACTATCACTGAGCGGCCCGCCTCAGGAACATCGCTTCGCCTGGCATCTAGCGGGGCACGCGGCCTGAGGGGGGGCTCTTTTCTTGGGACGCTTACCTGTGGCCTCCTCCGCGACGCGAACCGGCTGAAGGCTGCTGCTGGGGCCGCGTGGGAGGGAAGGGAGCCGCAGGGGGGCGTCCTCGGCGGCGAGCTGGCGGAGGCGTCCGAGCCGACGGCTGGTTGGAGGCAGCAGCTGGCCGTCGGGGCAGAGAAACCGCCTTCGTCTGCTCCTAGGCGGTCGAGAAGTGCTGGGCAAAGTCCTGGACCGCACCGCCGAACATTATGATGCTCCTGGACCACAGCGGTGGGCATCACCTGACCAAGGGAGCGAGCGACCGCCTCCGTGACCCGTTTAAGGACAAGGTAGGCGACAGGCTCGCAGCTCGCTTGGTCCGTCACCTCCTCGTGCACATTCCTGAGCAGCTAGCTTTGTAGGTGCTCATCATATGCAGGGCGGAGGCTGCCTGTCCCGCCGCTCTACAGAATCGCGCCGCCATAGACGACGAGAACCCATAGGCTTTGGAGGGGCATCTGAGAGCAACCGCCGGTTGACCGGGGGAGCCCCAGCGTACCCACAGACAGCCGCATCGCCGAGGGGAGGAAGGGCGGGGAACTAAGCACGCTTTTTTTTTCAGTTCCGCATGCAACTCGGGGAAAAAAGGAAATTGGGGTTGGCCGTGGCCGTAAGGCGGCAGCGTTTACCCAAAAACCAATTATTCAGCCGCGAGAGATCGGGGAGGGGCGGAGTTCCACCCCCACCCGATGCTCACGGACGCCCGAGATAGCACGGCCATCATCGCGGGATCAGACACGGCGGCGCTGACGCTCCCGAGGGAGGCAACGCGGCCGCATCCTCACTTCCCGAGGAGTCAAGCCCGCCTAGTGATGCTGTGATCGACATCGCATCATCATCTGGAGCGCTGCCCGAAGCAGCCGGTGCCACCGAAGAAGCAACCGACTGAATCGAACTAACGCTCGCTGGCTCTCGCACTGAGGCGGGAGGTGTGGCCCGAGGAATCGTCGGGGCTTATCCCACACCATCACCGTAAATCACCAGGTCCCCGGGTCGACGGGCCCCCTATGGAGGAAACCGATCGAGCGGGGGGGACCGGGACTCTCACTCAAGTGAGATCATTGAGTCTCGACCTCAGTGTAGAGATGGTCATGTTCCCACAGAAGGAAAATGAGTCATCCACGAACGCTGCTGCTGCATGCTGAAATGCCCAGGCATACAAAGCAGCGATCGTGACCATCAGATGACGACAGAAATCAATCACACCCAGAAGAGCACGGGCGAACCGTCTTTAAAAAGACGTGCGCGTGCAGCTCTTTCAATGAGAGGAGGAAATTCACTCTTTCAGCGCTGAAGCGACCAGGGAGAAGCGCAAAGTCTGGCAGACCACTGCTCAGATCGCAGGCGATGCAGAATCTCGCTGGGTACCGCCGTCACACCAACACTGAAGAGGACGCTCGTCTCGAAGAGTCTTGAACAGTGCTTTCAGGAGTGAAGAGGTTCTCTTGGCTCCGAAGCGAAAACATACTGCGGTTGCGTTCACTTCCTCCTTTTATACTCACGGAGTAGGGCGGAGTACGCTATGCAAATTTCCGCAGCCCCAAGGCATTGCATGCCATTGGCTCGTGTTTAAATACTCGAAGAGGATTGGCTTTCTATGCGAAACCCCCAATCTCCGTCACTTCTGACGTAACTCGAAGTGACTACGAAAGGGAACTAAATTGCTGCATGTGCAATAAAAAATTTGACTACAATTTTTGTCTTTTGTATTTTCAGGAAAAGTGGTCCTGACTGAACTATTTTTTTGAACAAACTTTTAAAGTGCATTTTGTTGGTGGACTCACACAGATGGACATGTTTTATACACTCTTATCAAGTAGATTGTTTTATTAGGTTGTAAACATAGCATTTTACCCTAATGCACTTCGATTGATCCAGTGTCAATAGAGCTTAGATGTTCAAAGAACGAGGCAGCGTGTGTGTGTTCATGTGTGTGTGTCCACTTTTTACAGGGTGAGGATGGTGCTACACTGTGTTTTTCCTGCGAGAGGTGTGGGGTGTCAGCCAGTCTCTTGTTCCTGTGCTTTTCGAATCAATATCCTCATTATTCTCTGTCAACTCAAATCCAACAGCTTCAAGCAACAAAAGTCAAAAGAAAGTCACTTGTATTGACAGAGGAGAGTCCAGGTTTGCGTTTCTCACTCAAGAACCAGTCCTGTCCTCCCCTGAACCGATGTTAAAGATGGAGAGGCTGGTTTTAGTGGTTATCACTCACTTACACGTCACTGACAGAGATAAAAGGAGGGCTATAAAAAGAGTCAGACAGAGATGACACACAGACACACACACACACACTTTTGGTATCTCCCACGTCTAAATCACATACACTTACACACTTTATGAAATGTACACACTTCTGTACCTGTAAGAAGATGTATTGGTCCTGCACTACGAGGGAGTTGGTGTCAATTCGGCCGCTGAATGGATACTGCCTACTCTCCTCTGAACATTTTTGTGCTCGGCAGGTAATATACTGCATTTCTGTGAGACACACACAGATTTATCAACACAGGATATGCTTGTGCACAAGAACGCCTTGATCTACACCAAACAAAAAACAGATGATCAATATCTCTCACTCTCTCTGGCGCACACACACACACACACAACAAACACAATCTAGAACCTACACACAAACTTCCCACACATCTCTATGTCTAGCCAAATTAATCAGTGCTCTCTCTCCATTATCAGTCTCTCTACTAGCGATCCATCCTCACTCAGAAGGGAGAGAAAGAGGGGGTGGGAGTAAAACTACAGAGAAACAAAGGAGAGAGCAACGGGAGAAGGAAAAAAAGGCCCATACAGAAATAGCAGATTAGGATTATTACAGTACCTCTTTTTCTGAAGAGAGTTAATCACTTAACAGGTCACACGTATTAGGTGTCTTTAACTTATGTACTTACATAAAAAATAAGTACAGTGCACTTGGTGTTCATGTTGTATAGCAGTTCTGGTTTGTTTCTTACGTAAAGCTCACAAAAAGCTTTACACAAATTATTTGGACTACTTTTAAATTAAACTTAACACATTTGAGATGCTGTCATTGTTAGTCAGTAACATACTGACAGTTAAATATTTCAACAAAAATTCAAATTCTGTCATTTTTTACTTTCTTTCTTCCATGAAACATGAAATAAGAAATGTTCCAGTATATACTCGCAAATTCTTGTCTAACCAGTGAAGCAGACTGTAAACATGCACTGTCAAGCCCCCCAAAGCACCTTAAACCAGGGGTGCAAAACTCACAGCCCATAAGAGTTTAGCTTCAGCCCTAATTAAACACACCAAGCTCATCAAGTCCTTCAGGCTTATTTAAAAAAAAAATAAGGTATTTGTGCATGAGCAGGGTTGAAAATAAACTCTGTGGGACAGTGTTCCTCCTGGAATTGAGTTTTGCACCCCTGATCTAAACCAACAAAGCCCCAGTTAATTGTGCTGTATTCTCATCAATGCATTGCTTTGTTCTCTAGGTTTTTTATTTTATTTATTTATCTAGTTTAAAAGTTTATAGGCATACATATTTCTTTATATCATCAGTTGTCAATAAATTACAGTGGAAGACGACTTCAGTTCCTAGAATGCATTACAATTGCAATTCACTAAATTCCTTTCCCTGTCATTTTAATTCAGCTTCCTGTGGGGTGTGGCCAAATGAATTAAATTTGCAACTTGTGAATTGAAAAGTCAATAATTCCACATGCTGGCCTATTGTCAAGGCATGAACAGATAAGATGGCCCATTAAATATGTCTGCAGAATAGACTGAAGGAACTGGCTTGATTACTAATGGGTCATTTCGTGTCAACTCAGCCAGAGGTCCCTGGCTCAATTTCTTTTTCTTTTTTTTTTGTAAACTAGCATAAATAGCGATACATTTCTCACCTAAAATGTAAAGCCAAATTACAGAGGCGAGTAAATTACTTTAGAATGATAGCAGCATTGTTAGATTGGTAGGTCAATTAGTAAATTATGTTGTCTTCAACAATCTTTGTTGCACTATATGCCAATGGACAAAGTTGTTCAAAAATGTATGTGTCTGTAACTTAAAAAGAGCTAAAGAGTTCTCAATATCATTTTAGATGCTGGTCAACTTTTCTGGAGGTACCAAGAGTTAATAGACCCAAGTTTCATGTCTTTTATGGCAGTGTGGTTGCTTTCCCCAGATCTATTAGCTCTTGTTAGCTCCAGAATCAGATAAAATAAGCAAAAACCCTTCTCCCAAATTTCCCTTATAGCTGAATAAACTATTGAGAGAAAATGAATGTGCCTCATCTTGACCATTTCAATGAATTTGTGGCTCTGAAATAGTTAAAATTGTCATGTTCTTTGATAGAAGGAAAAAGATACAATTCTCGGTTAACATTATTTGTTCTTACGAAAAGTTCTTTTCTCAGTTTTGAAAAATTAACCATATTTGGTTATATTCCATATTTTACTGAACATGATTAAGGAGAAGTTTCCAGAATTTGGCTGATTTGACACAGAATGACCCTGTCTGAAAACTAAAGAAGTTTTTGGCACCTTCTCCATTTGCCTGTGCTTCAAATTTAGATTGGTATAACCATGGCATCACTCATAACACATTGTTGTTTTTAAACTGTCCATAGAGCCTGCTGTGTTATGTCAGGCTCGTATCAATAGAGCTTAATGCACAACACTGTCCCACAAGGATAAAACATAAGCACAAGTGTCCAGAACCAAGCCAGAACCATTTACCATTGAATTTACTGTTGTCCACAATTCATCTGTTCATTTTTCACTGCGACACAGCAACAAACAAAAAAAGCATAGCAGGATGGGGAGAAAGTAAGAAAGACAGGGAGAGAAAGGAAGGAAGGGAGGAAGAGAGAAACTGAAAAAGCAAGAGAAAGGAAGAAAACATTCTGAGGGGCAAAAGAGGGAAACGAAGGAAAAGAAAGAGACTAACGTCCACTGTCAGTTCGAGCCTCGATGTGCACCAGGTCTGCCTCTTTATCCAGACCACTCAGAGCCCTGAAAATGAAAAAAGAAAAAGACAGAAAACAAAAAAAGAACAGAGGAGAGGAAAACAATCAGGAAGGGCTCCAGTGGAGAGGAGATGAAGAAGGAAGGAAAGAGAAGGAGGTGCCAGCAGGGGACGGACGAATGAGTACGGTAATAGCATGAGAGTGATGGAGTGATGGAAGAGGAGAGGCGAAGGTTGGAGGAGTAGTGATGGACAGCATAATTCCACTGCTCCAGTAGGAGACAGTCTGTCTCCAGTGAATCCTTATTGTTGCTCAGATAGCAATTAATCACACACACACACACACACACACAAACCATTCTCCATCGCATACACACTTTCATTTCTTACCTATTCTCACCTGTAACGCACACACACACATTCACTATCATATCACCTTTCACCATATCACCTGAGGTTTTTAATCATCTTAACGTCTTGTCTTTTGTTATCCATATTTTCTTCCAAGTCAGTTTGAACACGGTCACAATCTGATATTAAATCATTCTTACAATCCAAAATTAAACCTTTCAGTAAAAATCTGATATTCCACCTTTGCAGAGCCCTCATTTCTCGATATTAAGCCCCATTTACATTCTCAATCTCAGATTAATATTAATCCCAGTCTGAATTTGAACATCTCTCAATGAGAAAGATGTTCAAATTCAGATTGAGATTAATATTGTCTCAAATGAAACCCCTTCTTCTAAACTTCTCCATCAGTTCCAAAAAGTTTGTTAAAACATAAACGCGTGGTGATCTTGACTTGAATGGCTTCTATGTTCAGCTGTGTAGTATCTTCCCTATGGATCAGACTACTACATGAAGCTGCAAACTGCATAAGTCTCTGTCCCTCGAGTTGGAAGACAATGAAATTAAAGGTAAAATTGTATTCTCAATCTCAAGTGTCAGACAGTGATTTGAAAGTGGTCCATCACTGACAGACATTGAGCTATATCAGCTGGAATGAGTTCTTGATCAAAGTAAGACCAATTCAGTCATCTACCCTGAAGGGAACCGGAGGCTGCGTGAAATGGTGTGGGAACGCCATGCGTGAGTGTACCATGAAGCACGTATGGAATCAATTCAATGGCAAGACGGAACGTCATAGGCGGGTGATGTCATCAAACAAGAAACTATAAAGCACCCCCAAAACACAAGTGCATCAGCTTCTGATAGGCTCAAGCAAGTGATCTCAGGCATGCTGGGAGTATGGCATAGACACGCAGCGTCTCGACATACGTAACCACAGACATTCCCTATCAGGGAACTCAAGCTGCGTGTAACCCTGTGAGAGCGCCATACCCACATCGCCATACGAGAAAGTGTCCGTCGTGTGAAGTCAGGGTGAAGCCGCCTGCGCCCCTGGAGTGGAACTGAAGTCAAGATGGTAAAATTTGACGAATGTATGCGGTGAGAACCAGGGAGGCCTTCTAAAACGAGCTCTGGAGTGGAGGATGGTCTCAACGACTTCAATCGAAAGACCAGATTCTATGAAATGAAAGCTTTAGCATAAGTTCTGCCAGGAAGACTTAATTACCCCGCCACTCGTTAAACTTCAGGTTATCCAATCACATTCTTATTCTCATGGTATAAAAGATCGGTATTTACACATTTGAGTTCGCAGATGCCGACGCGACAACAACCTCCACCCTCTCCACCACCACCAGGATGGTCCTGTCTATACTTCCCCGTGGGGTCGTGTCCAGGCAGGAAATGCTGATCCGCTACCCTCGGATTACGATCTATGGACGGGGCCTAAGCCAAAGAACTTTGCAAATAATTGCTTGCTGGGCTGTCAATAAATGGATGCTTCGTTACATCATTTTATCTCCCGAGTCTTTCTGGTAGAACTGATACTAACCTAGATGCTAAAAGGTCTACCTCGGCACGACCAAAATGTTTCCAAAGGGGTGGAGTCTCCATTCCCAGGGCCTCGGCCTCTGCCTCGACAGGATGTCTGCCCCCTGATTTACATACCCTGGGATATAAATTGCCCTCAAAGAAAGAAGCTTCCCCTGGGACCACAGAAAGTTCTGGCAAGCCAGCTTGTATAACGGCTATATATATATACATGATATTTAGGTGAAAAACTCCTGCCAAGTAGCAACTAAGGACAGACAAAAACAGTATTTGACAGATTTCACACACAGAGCGCTTGCTGAAGTAACAGAAGCTGAAGCGCTTGTGTTTTTGGGGTGCTTTATAGTTTCCTAGTCGATGACGTCACCCACCTATGACGTTCCGTCTCGCCATTGGCCTGATTCCATACGTGCTTCATGACACACTCACTCAGAGCGTTCCCACAGTGTTTCACGCAGCTCGAGTTCCCTCATGGGGAACACCCGTTTCAATTACAGTATTTGACCAAGATTAAACATCTCTTTCAATCCCAGGCAGTCGTTTACTGTAACTCAGACTTAGATAATTAAAGGCTGTTAAACATTTATCTCAAACACAGTCTGATACTGAGACCCACTATAGTCCAATGCTAAACTGTTCCATTTTCCCCTTCTGCAGTCACCAAACCTGACACAATAGGGGTTGTGACACAATCATAAGCAGAATAGCGTATGTCTGTTTGTGTGTTGCAAAAACCAGCAACAACAAAAAATATGTATTTGATATATACATATATTTGAAGGGAGGAATTTGAAGGAGGAATAGAAGAATGTGTGTGTGTGCAGAGGGATGTTAAACCCAGGGGTGAAGACATGTTGTTGCCCACCTCCACAGCTCATCGAGCATGTGACAGGCAACCAGTTATTCTGACTACACCCCACACAAACACACATATACACACCCAAGCTCACACTGATGGGATTAAAATATAAACCTGATCAAAATTCCACACATACGATAACATGAAGCACAGGGGAGAGGGAAGTGACATGACAGTGAGATAAATGGAGATAGATACCGAAAGAGAGAGGGGAAAGAGTCATAGCAAGTGTGTGTATACGTTTATCAGTGTCAGTGTATTGGTTGTAGAGAGTGGGTTTAATATTGTATTAATTTTGAGTACCGTTATGTGATATTGCGTGTGTGTGTGTCAGATTAATTTTTAGTGTGAAATTATACAGTAGATGTGTTATATGAGATTGGTGATCAGTAAAAAAAAAAATCTCCATCTGTGTGTGTATGTGTGTAAAAAAGATTGAGACTTACCAGTAGAATCGCCCTGGAGTTACTCTCTCATGAACAAGAATCCACTTTTTACCGAAGTCCACTGAGCTATACAGCTACAGCCAAAAGAGAAAAAGACACATTCACTGTAAGATCCCTAACTACAGCCAACAAAGGTAATTATCTCGCTCACACTTAATTATCCACATTATCTGCTTTTAATTGTTCGGTAGAACTAGACCCTCTTGAGGCTGTGCGAGTGTGTGTGTGTGTGTGTGTATGTTTATACCCTCTGATCATGGCTATAGGCCAGTATCCAATTCTCCTGCGTAGGGTGAAACAAAAGGCTCATGATATAGAAGTTAATATTGAACTTTTGAAAAGTGGCTCCTTCATCAGAACTGATAAGTAAACTACTCTCCACCTCCGGATCAGATAAAATTAGGATCTGAGGAAGAGAGGGGAGTGGGAGAAATAATTATATTAGCTGGATATTTTCTATCTGACAGTTTATACATCCATATCTCTGACGCATTTGAACACACTTACCTTCCTCTTATTGGTGGGACAGACGTACAGATAGCTCAGCATGGTTCTCATCATCACTTTATCCGTCAGCTTCTCGTATGTCGTCCCAAAATCTATTGACCTAAAAATACATCAAAAGCTCAATAAAGTGATATTTTTTTATTCATTAATTTATATAAAAATACGGTAACACTTTACAATAAGCACCCATTAGATAATGTTAGTTAATGTGTCATTGACCCACACAGACATTTGATTTCACACAAAGCACAAGCCAAAGTGAAAACACAAAAGGAAGAGTATTTTCAATTGACACAACAGGTTTCCTGTGTCATGTAATTTTTATGCCCTCACTAAATGTAAAAATTCAGTGCAAACTGAGTCATTATATGTAATATTGAATATACATGTGAAGTAGGATTTTGGACCAATGAGATTTCACAAAGCAGAACAGAAATATAAACCGAATGTCCAAAATGTCTTGTTGCGCATCCTTTGTTGCCATCACAGCTGATTCGGAAAAAAAAACCCTATGTGGACACAGGCTAAAGGCTAGTTACATTAGATGGGTACAATAAAGGGTCACATGTAACATCATGGGCCATGTTAGAACCCACATCACCCACATGAGCACTATAACTCAACGTGTCAGGAGCACGGCGCACCACAGCTTCAGTAAAGCTGAGATTTTCAAAAGTCATTGGCATAATTAACTGAAGCTGTTGAGTATGCAAGCGTCTCCGTTCCATCGGAACTCATTAACACCGTCTCTTCTCCGGCAGGTACGACAGCAGACAGGAGAGTCTGCCGAACTCTTACAAGTATAATAATGTTAATGGTTTTAAGCCAGACAGTTGCGCGATGCGGTGCTCGAGAAGCACACGTGTACGTGTCGTCTGAAGCATTATCTCCTCGAGTGCTCATCTCTGAATGTGCTGAGAGTGCTCATACTCTGACACTTTTACCATCGGATACAATTACACAGCCGTTCTGAGCTGTTCAGGTTATTTGGGTTGTGTAAGCTGTAGAAGCACAGGTGAAGAGGAAGATGGTTCTCTGAGCACCCTCAAACGATGCCGAGTGCCTGCCCTAAAACGCTCCTCCGACGTTTCTGGTCCGGTCAGACTCCCTCTCTCTCTCCTCTGGCAGATCTCCCCAGTACTCAAGAGGACATTACTTCTCCTCTCAGGATAAATTCGCCTCGGTTCGTGTGTGTAATTTAGCAATTGCATGGGAAGGCTGGATACTTTTTAGAACATGTATCTTTATTTTAAAACACACGAGAGTGTGATTAACTAGCTCCTCTGAATGAGCCGTGATTTGTCTTCATATTTTTTCTACCCTTTATGCCGCCTACAGCAACATTCATTAATCATTCATTCTGTTTTTACTGACATCATTTACTACAGCCTGCAAGCTGAGCTTTAACATTCACCTCTTTTAATAACACGATGCCCCCCCCCCACCCCCACTCTCTCTCTCTCTCTTTGTTCCTCATCTCTCGCTCATCAGCTATCCCATTCCTTTACTTTCCTCTTCTTCATTTCCTGTTTATGCCATTTCTGTTTGTGGAAGTTGGGTAATGGCTTTCTGTTTTTCTCTCTGTAAACCCCCCACCGCCCTCCCTCTCTCCCTCTGAGTGACACTCACCGGGAGAGGAAATCTCATCAGGGCTTGCAGCCAAAAAGAAATTAAACAAAGCCTTCCTTCAAGGTGATTGCAGTGTGTATGTGTGAACGTTTGTGTGCATGTGCGGGTTTGCAGTGAGTGATGCTATGTTGATAAAGGATGATACTACGTATCTCCCCAAACATATCAAGCATTCCTTTTAATTACTGCAATATTGTTTTCATTATTCTTTTGACAAAGTCCAACCAAGTATCAGCTGTACTGATGATGATCACGTTGCGCTTGTGGCCACAATTACTCTTTCGCCCATTCCATTTACCTTTAGGAGGTAATTATAGAATTTTGTGTAAATCACAGTTTTAATAAGTGGATAATGATCAAACGCATAACTATAATAAATACAGAGTAAATTAAAACAATGACATTTAAAATGCAGAGAGAGCGTTATATTACAGTAAAACTGATGATAATAAGACTGATGATTGTGTTATAATTTAGGTTGCTTTAAATGAAAAAAAAAAACAAAAACTAATCATTTTAGTTTTGTCCCAAAAAACAAAAACGATAAAGCATAAGAGGGAGTTTATTATTCCAGTAAGAACCAGTTAGCCATTAAAAAATTGAGGGTCTAGGGTTTTTAAATTTAATTAAATCGCAGTGAACTGTAGATTTCACTGGGAGCTTTTTAATGGATAAAATAGTTTGGATGTGTGAAACGCCCCAGTTGAGCAGGGAATTTTTAAACAGACCCGCTCAGACAGCCAGACAGAAATGCACTGCTGCAGTCTAATCTGAAACTTAAAAAAGCATACCAAACTACGAAGAGCTTCTCGAAACTTGTAAAAGGCTAGAAAAAAAAAAATTCTTAAGAATAGTGAAGGTTTATAAATGAGTAAACGATTGTTCTCTGTGAAGTAAAGTCGAAATTAATGGGGGGAAAAAATCAAAACGTGAGGTGCCAGAATGCACAGTCAGTGCTTTCTTTCTCTATGTATAAGCCTGCCTTACACAGTTACCTTGCGATTCTTTTCTTTCCATTGTCTACACTATGACAAAGAGAGAGAGAGAGCCGGGTCATGGTACAGAGCGTCCCAGGAGAAGACAAGGATTAAGTACTTTCCCCAGGGGCATATCAGCAATGGTCAGTGAAAGTGCTTCTGAGCAGTATTTCATCCCATGTCTTTGCCATTCAAATAGTCCTGTGTACTTGCCACTAACGCACTTGTGGCTATAATGCAAGAATGCGTGTTGATTTGTAATGGGCTGGAAGCGTAATACTAATTCCACAAGGTTATCAGATCATTTAATTGAGGCTGGGTCAGCAGTGCTGCAGCAGTTAGTAGATACACCCCTATTTAAAGAATGCAAGCTTTGTGTTCCTACCCTTTTCCTAGCACTGATTTAAAATTTCCCCTGTGCTCTCATTGTAAACTACTGAGTAAAAAATGCTGAAAAATAAGTAAAAACTTGCCATATACCCACAAAGTATGGCAAACTTTACATACTGTAGGTGTACAACAAAGGATTTTGTATTTCCATGCATTTATGATGAGCTGTTCCTTGTGTAAAAGAAGAGTGCTTGATTCTATTTAATGCGCATTTGTAGTGTACTTTTTTAAGCTGTACTTGCAGATAATATTATATCAACTAAATAAAAGTCCACTCAAGTGTACTTGAGTACAATCTCATTGGCTATTTCTTAACACACTTAAGTGCACTTTTAAAAAGTGCACTCTAATAATGTCAAAATTGTCTTAATAATAATTTGTCATCCTTTCAAACCTGTCCTGGAGGACCACGAAACACTGCACGTTTTCTTTGTCTCCCTAATCAAACACACCTGATTCAACTCATCAGCTCATTATCACACGGGTTAATGAGCTGATGAGTTGAATCAGGTGTGTTTGATTAGCGAGACAAAGAAAACGCGCAGTGTTGGTGGTTCTCCAGGACAGGTTTGAGTACCACTGCTTTAAAGTAGTGCACTTGATGTTTTGACTAACATACTATAAGAACTATATTTTAGAATTATATTATAATACTGTATATTGGCCTGTAGTGTATATTTGATATTACATTTCAAGTTAAATGGTTAGTTCACCCAAAAAATGAAACTAAATCTAAAATGAAACTAAAATCTGAATCTAAAATAATAACTGTGTTCCGAAGATGAACTGAGGTCTTACAGGCTTGAAACAACATGAGGGTGAGTAATTAATGAAATCATTTTAATTTTGGGGTGAACTAACCCTTTAATTATATATTATATGTACTGAACTGCTAAATGTACCTTTAAAAACTATGTTAATTCATAACCTACAAGTTTCAGTAGAAATGGCATTAAAATATACTTCATTTAATTGCACTAAACATGCTAATAAGTGTCTAAAACATTCACTTTGTATTCAAGTATACTCTTTTAAAGTATAGTAATATATTTACTTATTAGGTACTTTTATTAAAAGTATGCTAAAGTGTACTTCCTTTTTTTATAAGGAGTACCAGAGCACTGGTGGCCAAAGTAGAGGAGTGAATAAACTCAGTATTTCCTTTCACAGAAAAGGGTTTACCTCCAGAGCGAACTCTCCGTCACGGTTCCCAGGTTAAAGTCGAACAGTTTTGTCAAAATCAGGATCACCTGAAAGAAAAACACGCAGACATTTAACAAATCACCAAGCAATCTCCATTTACACATTTCCCCAGCTACAGCACTCTTAATGTGCTACTTAAATGATAAAATGTCTGTCAGGCAGCCTCGCAGTGATGGATGAGAGTAAATATTAGGTGTGAATTTTATTATCTTGAGATGACAGCAGAATAAGAGGCAATGCACTCAGAGCCAGGACAGCCTGATGGAGGTAATGATGATCAGGGGAAGAGAAGAGAGAGAGAGAGAGAGAGCAAAAAAATGACGTTGTACACATACGCTAAAAACACAAACACGCTCAAGCTGTCAAATGTCATGCTGAAACGAGGCAGGTAAAACGCTTTGCTCTTCCCAACTGACAAAACATTCTGAGCACACACTCATAAACAACAGTGAACAAACAAGCAGATGTCTTTCCACTGTGAGCTTTTACCATAAAAAGAAAGGGATAGAGAGAGACTTTGAATCAAAAGAAGACAGTAAGTGGTCCCTTTGCGTCCGCGTCTGTGTGAGAACACAGTCTTCAGTATCACGTCCACTCCACACACACACACTAATGAAAATTAGACTAAAAGGTCCAATATTTCATTTCACACTCCATGATTGTTCCCTAATGAGCGTTCAGTCAACAGGAGTATTATCATTAACCTAAAAGAAAATCAAGTAATAATTCATGAAACAGATGCGAACGCAAACACGACTGTTATAGAAAAACCTATTATAGCCTATATCGGTAGTCTGTGACTTTACTAACACCGCTATAACGAGTCCTATGTTTGTGTATGCGTGTCTGAGCAACCTTCACTTTTCACGGCCCCACCTGTGACGGGACGGCTTCATCTCAGGTTAATTAACCAATCAGAAGAGGACAAACTATTAGCATATCCAAATACAGCATATCTGAAAGAGCAGGACCCCAGTCAAACTCACTCAGCTTCCTGAACCAGCAAAACCACCGTGATACTGGAACTAATTACATCTCTTTCTTGAAAGAGAGAGAGAGGGGGAGACCAGTGTCCAATGGGCTGAAAATGAATATTAATTTCAAAGTCGAGGTTCCTATTGTCCGTTTCTATGAGGTCAATAATATGTGCAGGGATGTTATGGAGATTTAATTACATTTGCATATGAATGGTGGGTTTGATCAGTTCATGTTCAAGCTAAGATCAGATTCAGTTTAAACATGAATGACTTACTGTCATATTACAGTCAATGCGCTGAGGTCTGTTCAGTTGCTTTATTCTTCTAACCTCAAATACATGAAAAAGCTTCACCATTACATTCATCGTTTGTTCCTTTACCTTTTGTTCTCTCTGAAATAAATGTTTCATTACATGCGAAACATGTCAACATTGTTGAAGACCCAACAGTCTTTTTTCGGCTATGAGCTGGCGTGTCATAAAATCCGTATTACATGCCGAATCTTACAACCGAACATTTCCATTTCCATAATTCCCATATCTATTTCATTTACTTTATTGCATTTTACCATGAAATATGATTATCTAAATTGCAGCTTTTAGTGCTGTGTATGGCCATTCTGTTGTGCTCTGCGTGATACCATGGAAACAACTCCTGCAAATACCAATCAGTTTCTACTGAAGGCTGCTCACTTGACAGTGACAACAAGTAGCAGTGAAATAAAAAACAATATCCGGACTAAGAACATATGCTATAACATAGCTGATGAATCTTCCAGAGGAAGCTGACAATACTTTTACAGGTTTAGTGACTGAAATGGCAAGACAATATCACTTTAGGACTTTTATTTCCCCAAACTGGATGTTTACTCTATTGCCTATACAATAAAGCTGCATTCTGGCGTTTTTCCTCTTTGTCGCCATCTCTGTTCAAAATCTGCAATTGCAGTCAATTGCAGAATTATCAACTTTCCGTGAGTTGTATTCAACACTCTCGACACGGCACAGCGTGGATGAACACAATGTTGGAGGAGAGTGTGCAGCTGTTAATCACTGCGCTGGTGTGGATACTGGCATTCATAATCACAGCTTATTCTTTTTTGAAAGTATTACCAAAATGATAATTTTCACCGGCAAAATGTCATCTGAACTAGTACGAAACAATTTCCCCACCCCCCAATGTAATCCCAAATTTAGCATTTTAATCAACAGTAACCTTTTACCATACGTCTTAATATCGTATTATGAGTTTGGTATCGTTATATGTATTGAATGTGACGAGGGTATTGTTACACTGAATATCTAAAAGTGTACTGTATGTATGTATGTATTCATATTGAACAAAAGACATTAGATGTAAAAAGATGAAACGTGAACAACATATTCTAGTTTATTGTTTTGAATTGAATATTAACCACGTTTTGGCTTTAAGTAGCCTGTAAGGTTATGAAGTCCACATTTTTAAACATTAAACACTAATAAACCTTTCATCTGGGGCCCAGTACTTTCAAATGTTTGAGTGAAATTACATGTGTGATTATATATTTAATTATAATAGAATAATTCAGAATATTCAAACGCTAATGTATGTGTTTCAGTATTATCCATTAAGATCTGAAATCCTTTCTGTTTATGTAATTTTCATTTAGTCAAAATAACGTGTAGACAGTGGACTGAATAACAATGATGCCTGATTGGTCTTGATAGTCTTTTTAATCAGTCTACGCCTGCAGAATTCCACAGATACATTTGCAGATTTTTTTGCAGAATTAAAACATAAACATATTGCATGCTCATTCAATAAAGACTTTGGCTACTTTTATGATTCTTTCAGAAACCAGTAAAAGTGCAGTAATGTATGCTCAATTTAACATATTTTGGCATATTTTAATAAACTCATTAGAGATCTGAATGTTTCCCCACAATTAAGTAAAAATGCAAATTCCTACATATTTGACCCATTCGCCATTATATTCGTATTATTTACAGAAAAAAATGGCTGCACAACTAGCAGTAAGAGTGTCAGATTATATTTTTCCCCACACTGATTACAGTTTTCCAAGAGATCACCCTTCTAACATTATTCTGTTTTATTTATGTTGTTGTGGACCATGACATTTTGAAGAAGACTCGAGGCTATTCTCAAAGAGGACCATAAGCCTTTTAAAATCCACTCGTGGGAAATCATGATACACTTGTAAACGTCAGCTTTTAAGCTGTAACTTTTTAAAAAATAAAATAGCATAGAGTGGGACAGGTTGACATTTTAAATCAGTTTGTTGACTGAAAGTCTTACTTTCTCCATCTTTCTTTTGTAGCCATTATAGAATGTGGTATTCTTGCTTAGAATAAGGCCTATGAGGTTTTCTAGTTCCTTGTAGCCAGAGAACATCAAAATGCCAGACTATTACAAACTCTTGGTTTAACTACATGAACTGGGGGGTATGGCTGCATCAAAATACCAAAATTTTGGCTTCAGTACAATACCAGCCTCTGGCACCTCAACAAAAACAAAATCTTAAGCATCGCATTAACAGCCTCAGGCAACCAGTCAAATGACACCAAACTCTGACTGTCAAATATATTCAAGTTTACATTTCATGAGATTAAGTGTCAAAAATTGATGAATAATCTCATAGTTTCACTCAAAAATGAAGGGTTAGTTCCATGAACCCGTCAGACTTTCATTCATCTTCGAAACACAAATTAAGAGGGGTCATGAACTGGCTTTTTAAATTGTATTATATTGTTGTCTGAGGTCAACTTATGACGTTTGCTTGGTTTTTGCATTCAAAAACATCAAAATGAATAAGTAATAGGAAATTTTCTACTCTAGTTTTGAGCCCAGCTCAGAAATGCTGGGTTTTCATGGGCGTCTCAGACTTGGAAGTAAACGCCCACTGCTGTGAGTGGATAACAGTTTTGCATATTATAATGAGTTTCAACTCAACCGTCAAAGAACTCTGGGGAAATTGTTCTGAAAACGTCCATTGTGCCATTGTTGTAAAATGGCCACCGGAATGATTTGCCCATACATGTTCGACCCAGAGTCTGTGTGTTGCACAATTCCTGTCAGATCCAATATAGACTGCACAGCACCGTTCTTTACTCTTAATTCGTCTGCAAATCCAGTCTTGTTTACAATCCTCAGTGAAATGAAGCGAACAGACGGTTTTACCCTCATCAGCTGGAACGTCATTAAACATAAAGTTTATCCATGCAGTCCTATTGGAATCCAGAGGAAGCTTATGCAGCGACTGTCTTCTTCCACAACCAGGCACTGCACAATATTTTGTATTGCTTGGTAGCTCGATCCGGTTTGTCATCACGAGGTAGGCATCTATGTTATTTAGCAATGCGTGTATTGCGCGTATCGGTAGGCGGGGCTAAACCGGCCGTGTTGAAGTAGGCGTTGATCTTCTTCTGCGGGGGTGGTGTTTTATACTCTTTGACGTCATAGTTCCCCACTTTAATAAACGAGTCGTTTGCTGGGCCTGGTGTCAATAAAAGCTTTTATTGGACTAACAAGGACGTCTTCAGTTCTGAAACTTACAGGATATTCTTATAATATGATGACCTCTTAGATGTCAAAAGCTCAAGGAAAATTTGATTTCTCAGTTTATCACCCCTTTAATGAAATCTGTTCCTCCATTGACAGTCGACGCAACTATCACTTTGTCGCTTCAAAAAAGAATCCATAAGAATCGAGTAGTTTAGCATTTTTTATTTGTATTTTTTTTTTGAGGAGACACAATTGCTTTATAAAGGTTTGGAACGACCTGAGGGTGACAGGTATTTCTGCAACTGGAAATGCAAATTCTAAACCAATGCAAAGTTGCAACAAGTTAATAACTTTACATAGAATTACATTAAATAATTCTGCTGTTGTCTGATAATCTTCAATAATGTGATCCATGTCTTTTGTAAACAGAGTCGTAATCTACTTGCTTTACTTTTTCTATTTCTAAACTACAAAATGAAATGGCTATAATGTCCGATTTGAAACACAAATGCTTTAAAAAAAACAACAACACATTTAATGAATCAAGTAACAATGCCTGAAATGCCAAA